CACCAGTGCACCTGTGCCTACTGACTCTACTGTCTGGTTTCCAAAATCTAGATCTTACTGGACTCCTAACCCTGGGGCGTCTAGAGCTTTGGATCTATACATTGAGAAAACTCTTTTTGAGATCAATTAATTGAAATTCCAATTTCTCCGGCACTCTAACCTCTCACCTCAAGAACTTCAGGCACTCACACGGTTGAAACGTCGTGATGATATTGTTATCAAACCGGCCGACAAGGGAGGGGCGAAATTAATATGGAGAAAAGATTTATATGTGCAAGAAGGAGACAGGCAACTTAGTGACACATCTTCCTATGAACCCCAGACACAGGATGTTACGGTAAAAAAAAAAGTAAAAAGTACCATCACAACCTTCATCCAGGAAGATCTCTTGCCTGCCCGGGCCAGCTCTCTATTTGTCGAAGACAGTTGTCTGGGGAAGCCTGGCCTTCACATGCTTCCTAAGATACATAAACCGGACAACCCAGGTAGACCGATGTGTCCGCCTGTGCCTGTCCCACAGAGCTCATACCCGGGTTCACCGACCGTATTTTGCAGACTCTGGTCGTTGATCTCCCGTCTTCCATCAAAGCTACAAACCATGCTATCTCTATCTTTAAATCTATCCGGTTCACCTCTTCTTCCAGGTACCAGACCTTAACCTTAGATGTTACCTCCATCTACACCTCTATTCCACATTCGGATGGCCTCCAGGCTTTGCAGTTCTTTCTAGATCAGAATCAGTCCTGCCATAGCCACTGACCCCTTGATTTGTTTGGGGGCCGCGTTAACGCAGTCCATAAGAGGCTCGCTTTTAAATCCAGCTGTGACTCGCTGCAGCCCACGGCCGGTGTTCGAAACCGGGCGGCTCCCGGGGTTCACCCGGCCTCTAGGAAATGGGTACCAGAGTTGACACTGGGATAAATAGAGGAACGTCGCTGAAGCTACAGAGTTACTTGCGAACGGCGACACAGGCGGACATTTCTTATCAGCTTTCCGTACTGGTGGCAGAGCACTTATGGTTTATAACCGTGTGCAATGACGCTGGTTCACATCTCCCGACTTTGCCTTTACCTGACCTTTACCCTTGATTCGTTTGGCTGAGTTAGTGCTCACTCTAAACTCATTCGAGTTTAATGGCCAGTATTTCAGCCAGATCAGCGGCGTCGCTATGGGGATTAAGATGGGACCCAGCTATGCCTGCTTCATCATTTTCTTTATGCCCAGTGGCACGCGAGGCTTCAGAGAGAACTGCCCATGCTTTCCTGTCCTGTGAAATCTTCAGTGCAGTTTTCCGTGTTAGGGATGCAGCACTCAGTTCACTTTTCTTCGTTCGTCTCCATGTTGTTTAGGCGCCCCGTCTGTCTTTTTCTTTCTGGTGTACAGGTAAGAGCTGTTTTGGCAGGTAGATCACGATTCATTCTGATAATGGGAATAAGCCATTTGCATCTTCTCTTTGTTATCATACTAACTATTTTAGTGTTTCAGATTGTAACTGGCAAGAAACTTGCGATATTTCTAAGTGGACATGTGTGGTGAGAGGTGGATAGCTTGTGTGTATCCTTGTTGGTCATCCTTCGACCATCTGCCCCGTAAAGAAGAACAGGCAAAATGATGTTCTTGTAGAGTCGGAGCTTTGTTTCTCTGGGGTAACTGTTAGATTTCCAAATTTGCCTCATCCTTCCAAAAGCGGCTCTAGCTTTGTTCAAGGGTGATTTTAGGTCTTCATCTGTCCCTCCCAGTAGGGACACCACACTGCCAAGATATGTAAAAACTGTTCTACATTTTCAAGTGTTTTTGTTATTTGTGGTCACTGATTGCTGGTCTGGACTGTCATACTCCATAAATAGCCACAAAACTGCACACTTGCCTTCAAGCCTCTGCACTTGGAAAGGGGCAAAACGCTTCCTAAAAACTATAGTCGTTTGAAAAAGTCTGTGTATTCCGACAATTCAGTTGAGGTGTTTGATGACCTGAACGGTTACAACGTCTGGCTCTCATGCTGGAGACCCGGGTTCGACCCCCGTAAGGTGAATGAGTTTTTCTGTCTGGGACAAAACGTCATAACCGGCACAGTCCCTGGCTACGGCACTTGCCAGGCTGCCATAAATCCTCAGGCTCAAGGCCCACCCCCCCCCCCGCCACCCCTGTCTATACCGCTCGAAACAGTGGTAAGACAGACTAGTGATTTGTTCAGGCTAAACAATGGACGGTAGTCCAGGGACAAAGATGCTTGCTGGGCCCCCCTCGGCTCCTAAAAGGACTATTCAAAATATTTTCATGATGCTTTTTTTTTTCTGTCCACATATTTAGAATGTCGCCAATATCATCATCATCATCAGGTACCTTGCTGACTGGCGTGGGCGATCATGCCTCTCCACAATCCACGATCTCCTGCAGCACATATCAGTTCGTGTACTGACACACCTCCATGCCATGCAACAAGACTGTCAAGCATCTTCTCTCGTTGTCTTCCTTTATCCCTCCTTCCACAAATCTTTCCAGTGGTCACAACATGTTCTATTTTCCCTCTTCTCATAACATGGCTGAAAAATGATGACTGTCTCCTTCTGATGTCTGTGATAAGTTGTCTTCGGGCTCCCGCCTCTTTCAAAACCTCTTGGCTGCTCTTTTTGGCTGTCCAAGGTATTCTAAGCATTCTTCTGTAAAACCACATTTCTGAGGCCTCATGAAATTGTTTGGCCTGACTACCGATTGTCCAGGATTCACATCCTTTTGTTAAAACTGCTAATATAGACCAACAGAAATGAAAGAAAAGGTTAAGGTTAGTTGCGTATCCTTTACATGACGTTGCAGAACCAACCCCAGCAGCCCCTGGCTGTTGTGTGTTTTCTCTAGGCAAATTTACGTCCAGTAGTTTGTCATGGCCCGCAGCTGGGATCAAAACCCAGCACCCTGGCATTACGAAGCGTTCGCATCGACTTAGCCACAGAGCCGACGTAAAGAAAAGAGACAAGTAAAATATTTTGACCTCATTAAAAGACACTTACAAAAACCACATCGGATAGGAGTGTTGGAAGTAAGCCAGCAAGCGGTAGACATCAAAACAAGTGGGAGGACATCATCGTCAAGAGATGAGCGATCAGTCGTCTCAGAGCAAATGTAATCAGGACGAGAGAAAGAGCGTCTGGAAGATTATGTGCAAATGACCTTCATTGGGGGAGGCGTCACGTCATTTTTTTTTAAAGTAACGTTATGAAAATGAATGACATGAACCGGCATATGCGACAAATAAACAGATGTGTACATAAAGAGAAAGAGGAAGCTCCTTTCTAGCCTTTTTTTTTTTTTTTTTTTTAGGAGGACAACATGCGAGAAGACCTTTCTAGCCTTTAGTACTTTAATTGATTTCTTAGGTAATTCCTAAGGATCCCTAGGGGTTTCCCTGGGCCATACTATATAATGGGGGTAGGGGGTAGGGTTAGGGGTAGTGTTGAATGAATATTGACTACTGCTAAGCCTAACCCTAATTTCCCTATACTAGGGGACGTTCAGGGGATTTACCTATTAAATTTCGAAATCGACGAGATGTGGTTGTATAAAATTAAAGTAGCCATCCTTTTATCCGGGCACATATGAGTGCATTCGCACAGGAATTGATAAATGCTGTTAAAGATCGCTTACGCTAGCGGGGAGGCACTTGATGATGACAGCAGGGGAGGTCACTGTAAAAAACTTTAGCACGTTCGGTTTCCGGTGATGCCCTTGCTGCTCCAGGATTCGTGATAACAACAAGGTTGTGGGCTCCAGACTGGGGGAAGCGGAGATCATGTCCGACACAGCGCGACCAGCGGCCACCGATGTGGACTCCCCGAATTTAATAGGGGCAGTTGACCAAGGCACCAGCAGCACACGGTTCCTGGTAGGTGTTTGTCTCGGGGTGTCAGATACATGAGGCACAAGACCGGTCCCTGCGTGGAGTTTGGACTTGCAGGTCATAGGTCACTTGTGTAGTGTAGCTAGCGGCACTGGGCCATGACCATTCATTTAGTGCTCTATAGTAATATCTGGTAATCTTAGTTTCAGCTTCATAGCAAACAGGTCGCCGCATAGTTGCTCCGCTCCTGTGCCAACAAAAAACATAAAATGTTTATCACAGTTCAAATGAAATCCGCAGCTCACAGTGTGACGCCGTGCACTCAACTCAGAAGCTGGGCAACGAAACTAAATCCTTCCAGTGTACAAATGGAGCAAAAATGCAACGGCCACCGTCTGGCAAAAGCAAAAAAAAAAAAAAAATTGCTACGGCTACAAAAAGTGGCCGTGCCTAGCGGCCATTTTGACCGGAAGTATTATTTGAGGGTTAGTAAACGGTCAACCCACCAGTACCCTTACTATTTGCTTAGGACATTACATTCACCAGCAAGCGTCGCCCCTATAACGACCTGACCGCCTTCGTTAACGACTGTTCACGCAACAGCCATGCAGATCTTTGGCACAAAGGAGACACCTTGAACTTGGGTTTCGGACTGCCGACTCCCTACAAGATGTTTTGTTATTTCATGTTATCACAATTGACGTCACTGCACATTGGGCATTCCCATGCATGCTCAGTCCTTCGTTGCAGCAGCCACTCCAAAGTACTTCTACTAATTGTTCTCATGAGAGTAATATGTGCTAGACGTTGTTAGATATGACATTTCATCTTGTACACAAACACAATGAGAGATTGTTCTTTTGTTTTCTTTCTTTTCATTATCTTTATCTTCTGTTTCTTCTGTTTCTTCTTCTTCTTCTTCTTCTTCTTCTTCTTCTTCTTCTTCTTCTTCTTCTTCTTCTTCTTCTGCCAAATAACCCTATCACACTTGTGAAGGTGACACTCTGTGTCACTCCTCCTGTTGACTCCTGAAGTCATCAGCTGGTAATATTTTAGACTGCAGTCTAGAAAGGGGTGAGGGGGTGGGGGGGGGGATAAAAAATGTCATTAAAGGGCTTGAAGTAGATTGAGAGCCCTGCTCTATTGGGGACCCTATGTTGGCTTGATAAACAAAGTACACACACGTCATTCGGGATTATAACAGATTGGGATTGTGGGTATCATCAATTTGTGCACCTGTGTGTGTATAAGTGTGTTGTGTGCTTCTGAGATGTGTGAGTATTTTAGACTCACGACAACACAATCTCCCATAAACATTACATACGCCGAGCAAAAGCCAAACCAAGCCATAGGATAACAGCCCTGCAACATTGAAGAGGTTCTGTGACCCTATGAGGCATGAATGGCAAGGGAAGTCACTCTAATTTTGGGGCTTACTTTGTAAATAGGACCCAAGTTTGATAAATATAAGACTGTATTAAAGATGAATGCTAGAAAGGGCTGAATATATTTTGGGCCTGCATGCCCAGTTTGTAACCCTTTGAAAATAAAGTTCACTTATTTGTTTATTCATTCAGTCACAGGAAAAAGCAAGAGGAACGTACCACTGGGATTGCAGTTCTTTGCCCCTGCTGAGATGTAGGGTCAATTCCTCATTGAGTCAGATTTTTTTTATTTGCTCCCAGGGCGACTCAGCCTAAAATTAGTGCCAGGTAAAGTCTTAGGAAGTAAAGGTGGCCACTGTGATATAATAGACTACATCACCCATCAAGGGCCGATTAGTCTATAAAATATAGGTCTAAAACTATATGCTTAATGCGCATACTTAACTGGCTGCTGAAGATGGGACCCAACGCTTGTGGAAATGTCATTAGTGATGTGATAGTATTTTTAATTCAACAGTTTTTACAACAAATTACTAATATCTACTATTTTGTTGCCAGATTTTTAATGCAAGTACAGCAGAAGTGGTTACATACCATCAGACAGAGGTCAGACACATTCTACCAAAGGAGGGGTATGTTCTCAGTGTGTCAGTTGTCAGTCATCACAGAATCACAGTGTTTGTGACTGTTAATCATATGTTTGCAGTCTAGTCTCTTCTGTTTATCTGGTGTCTATCTACTGCCTGTAAATAGTTTATCTGCTGTCCTGTCTGTGTTTTGTCTGGTTGGTCCATCTTTATTTTCTTCTTCTGCGTAAACCCTTCAAAGGGTGATTGGAATGCTACATTGCAGTTCACAGCTAGGCTCTGCTTTGCACCTTTCTGTCAGAGCCATCTGATGCCAACAAACCCTTAAGTAGTCACCTTTTACAGAGTGCTTGTTCAGGGTCTGCTCTTGTTTCCCCACTTTATTTGTTGTACTGTGGACTGCTGATTTTATTTGGAATGCTTTTCAGCTGTGCCCAGCGGAGTTTGCATTGTAAACTGCAAATTCAGAAAATAGTGAATGACCCATTACCATAGAACTCGGGGTGCTTTATGTGATTAATTGCGTGTGCAACTACTGATATTTGTAACTACTGCTTCCATCCATGATGAATTGTACTTCAAATGTTGAACTTTTTTGTGTTAAGAGCTTCCGACTGTTGCTTTATGCATTTAGGGCTGTTTGATATGCGAAGACTCTAGTGTGTGTCAGTTTTTTCACTAGGAAGATTGATGGAATTCTGTGTGTTTTCCTAGGCACCAAAACACTGCAGCTAAGGTGTGACTTATTTATTATGAAGTTGGAATTGCAGTTGCTTGATAACCTGTCCTTTGTTGATTCTGATGCAAGCTGTTATATTTACATTGAACTCTTGATAAACCTCTGTGATCCAGGTGGGTTGAGGAGGATCCAGTGGAGATACTGGAGTCAGTCAAAGTATGCATTGAGAAGGCAACAGAAAATCTCGTGGGATTGGGGTTCAAAACCACAGATATCAAAGGTAGGCTTGTTCTGTTTTTGTCTTTAGGTTTGGCTACATTGATCATACAGTATTTTACTACTTTAAACACAGTGTTTTTCTTCTTTGATATTACAATGTTTTACTACTTTGACTACATAGTGGTTTACTACTTTGATCATACAATATTTTACTGCTTTGATCATACAGTATTTTACTACTTTAGTCATACACGATTTTACAACCTTGATCATACTGTATTTTGTTACTGTGGCTACACATTATATTACTACTTTGACTTCACGATATTTTATCACTTTGACCAAACAATATGTTACTACTTTGACCACACAGTATGTTACTATTTTGACCAAAGAGTGTGTTACTAACTTTGACTAAAGAATACGTTACTATTTTGACCAAACAATACGTTTCAACTTTGACCACACAGTATTTTACTACTACTGTTACTACACAATGTTTTAACTACTTTACTACACAACATTTTACTACTTCAAAAAATTATATTTTACTAGTTTGACTAACAGTTTTTTACTAATGTTACTACACATGATTTTCTACATTAACAAACAATATTTTACTACTTGACTACACAATACATGCTAATCTGAGATTTCCTGATCACTGTTTGTTATTCAGTGTATTCTCATCGCCATTACAGTCTTACAACACCAGGTGTTATTGGGTCACCTGTGACTGTTGGATCAGATCCCTCCATGTCTGTCAGTTAGATGCAGTGGACTGGAAGTTTGCATTTTTTAGACCCACCCAGTCAACCAAATTCTGTAGCCAGGTTTTTCTCTGCTGGTCTTGGAAAAGCCAGTAGATTTGATTACACGTCCATGCTATTGCATTTTCCTTATTTTCACAGTTGTTAAAGACATTCATAGTTGCCATTGTGTTGAGTGAGGAGCTTCATCATTTAGGATATGGTCTCTGTGTGAAACACTTCTCAAAAGATCTCCTTTCCAGTGCTTGTATTTTCCTTTCAAGTTTGAATGTTAATTGATGACACAGTGGGGCCATTTCTATTGATGACACAATGGGGTTGATTCTGTTTCATCTCCAGCCGCATACTGGTTATACACATGTATGCTGCCTCTCATTCATCCTTGCAAAGACTGACAGTTACCTTGGGATGCTGGAATGGTTATCTGGTGAGACAGAGACAGTGATACAAGAGCTGATCAATGAAAGTTCACGCCCATGTGACATCAAAGGGGCCCAGTCCTCATTTCACATCTGTATGTAAAACTACAAGCATCTAGTGCCATTAGCAGTCATTTTTTTTGCTCTTTTTCTCATCCATGTTACAAATTATAATGGATGCTAACTGAATTCTGTGTCCACAATACTCCATGATAATGTTCTGATGCCTGTTTGCTTGACTCTGCAGCCCTAGGAATCACCAACCAGAGAGAAACAACCATTGTATGGGATCGGACCACAGGCAAACCTTTGTACAACGCAATAGGTGGGTATCTGTTCTTCCTGTTAGCATTCACCAGCTGTAAACTCCAGCAGAAAGTTCTGGTTGTTCATCCATTTCTGGTTTTAAGTCCTTTTCAGAACTTGAGTTTTGTGTGCGCATCCATTTTACAGATCTGGCTTATTTGTGTGCAGACTATTGGAGCACACGTGCTTCATCTCTTCCTCAGTAGCCAACGAAGGGTCAACATACTAATAGTACCAGTTGCAACCTAATTAAAAGCTTTATCATAAATTAACTCACTGCCCAGAGGAGCGAAAGCATCCAATCTATCAGCCTGCCTATTATCCCACATTCCGATTATCCTGCTCAGGATTTTTATGTTTCTAATCTGAGTCTTATCTAGTGATACAAGCCACTATACGTGTCATACGCCAGTTTGAATTTTCTGATGCATGCTCTATGAGTCCATTACAATTACAAGATGTCGAGCTGTGCTGCTCTCAGGCGATCGGAAAGCTGCGGTTACTGCCTCCATCTCCATTCACATACTGGATGTAAAGACGTTGTATACCTGGCTCTCTGTTTTCACACAGCGCCCATTCACATTTGCATTCAAACCTCACCCACTCTTCTTATCTCTCACTACAGACCAAGATGTGTATATTATGATGTGACCTGGGCATGAACTTTCATTGGTCAGCTCTTGTATCACTGTCTCTGTTTCACCAGCTATCCGTTTCCATCATCCCTGGTATAAAGTAACTGTCACTCTTTGCAAGGAAGAATGAGAGGAAGGAATGGAGGAGTGAGAGGAAGAGTATATGTGTACAACCAGTATGTGGCTGGATGTTGAACATCTATACGTGCAAGGAAGAATGAGAGGAAGGAATGGAGGAGTGAGAGGAAGAGTACATGTGTACAACCAGTATGTGGCTGGATGTTGAACATCTATACGTATGCAGTGATGTTGATTCTTCAGTCAGTAATCTTTGAGTTAATGAAGTGTTTAGTTTAGCGCATTGATCGTGTTATGTGGAGGGCGCACATCAGGGAGGAAATGAGAATGAAGGAAGCAATGATTGCAGAAAGGATGAGAGCTGAGCGTCTGAAAAGGAACAGACTAAAAACAAATATTGACTTCAATGGTCCTGAAATCCCATGCTATCATTGTGGAAGAGTTTTCTTAACGCTGGCAGGTCTTGCTAGTCACACTCGCCATTGCCATGGGCTGTGCATCTCATACCTGCTTATAGCACAATATATATTGTCTGGAAAGACGGAAAAGTGCCAGTTAATCAGTTAAGGACAAGAAAATCCACTTCATTGTGCTATGGTTTTTCTATTATGGCAGGGCTCTCACAAGTGGGAGCATTACACAAAAGCATGACCTCTGTAGTTCCAGCAACAGCCTCCAGGGAGTCAAAACTCACACATTCAACCTTAGAGGTAAACTTCCTTAACCGGATCGCCACAGAGACAGCAGGGTCAGCCATGGGGTCATGTTAGAACCTTCTGTGATGGAAGAGATAAATATGCTGATGCATCTTGTTTTGTTTCTGTTTTTAAAGTGTGGCTGGACATGAGGACAGCCTCCACTGTACAGAGCCTCATTCGGAAAACACCAGGAGAGGACAAAGACTACCTAAGGGTCAGTTGTTAGTTTTGTTTCACAATGTTGACATTGCAGGTTGCTGTAGTTGTCAGATTTTATAACATTTGTTTCACTCTTTACAATGTTTGCCTCACACTTTACAATGTATGCTTCATATTTTACAATGTTTCATATTTTACCATGTTTGTTTCACATTTTACAATGTTAGTTTCACATTTTACAATGCCTGCTTCACATTTTATAATGTTAGTTTCACATTTTACAGTGTTTGTGTTAAATATTATAATTTTTGTTTCACAGTATACAGTGACCAAATGACATTTTATAGTGTTTGTTTCACAGTTTACGTCTGCATTAGACATTTTACATTGTTTATATCATAGGACTAGGAGGAGGGAGAAGACGAGAGACCGATTTTGAAATACGGCTGTTGTTTCTTTCAGGGGCTGTGTGGACTTCCTATAACCACATACTTCAGTGCAGTGAAGCTCCGTTGGCTCCTGGACAACTCTGAGGTTGTGAGGAAAGCGGCCGAGGATGGGCGATGCATGTTTGGCACTGTGGACTCTTGGCTGGTGTGGGTATGTGAGAGTTGTTGTTGATATGTCTTCTGTTTCTGTATACTCTTGTAAATTAAGATAAGTCAAGTGCCATTTCCAGTTAACTCTTTAATCCCAACATATTCATTGTACGTTCATAGGTTCCTTCCCAAAAGCTCAGTGAACACAAGATGTGCAGATTTTTTAATTTACCACTGGGCAGTTTAAAAACCTGAATCCACAGCTTTGAATGCTCTTTACAGTTCGTTGTGATCACTGACACATATCTTGTGCATTAGATTTTTCATAAACATGGTTCGAAACATAAAATATAGTATGTTTGTGAACTTTACAGTTTCTGTGTTTCTCTCAAAATAATATGGCTGCTGAGCTGTCTTCTTCATGCTTACCAAAGTTATTTATGGCTTATTTAAATAAAACAGCACATTGTTTATCTGGCGTCAGACAAAGAAAGTAGTGAAGCAGACTTGTTTCAGTCATTTGTAGAATCAAGCTTTGATGAAGGATAGCTTTAATGTGTACCGCACACAATATCCTTCTGTGATAACAAACCAGCTGGCACAAAGAGAGTTAACATAAGTGAAAAAAAGGTAAATTTTTTCGGTGTCACTTCTGTTCCGATCCACCTTATTATTTTGGAACATAGCTACAGAATTGTGGGCAGGTGTTTATATAAAGTTTGTTTTGTATGAAAAAAGAAATTGTTTAGGGAAATCATTTTGTATTTATGTTCCAAAGATTTCTCTAGAACAAGAACTAATATACAAATTGCATTTACATTTTATTTATACATTACTAAGTGGTTTGTGTTCATTTGCGATTCATTTAGAATACTGTTTTTATGCGTGTATTAGGCCGCAGTATTATTCAACTGAAAGTCGTTGAAAGAAAAAATGCAGCTTATATTCAGAATATTAGGTCTATACGTCACTTGCACAAAATTTATTCAGAAACAGTACACAATTTTGAAATGTACCTTGTGAAAGCAGAAAATGTATTGATCGGCACTCATAGAAAGAAGTAGAAAGTTAGAAGAACACACTAGACAACATAAAAATTGAAAGCTATAGTTACCGTGCTGGGAATCGAACCTGTCACTTCCCTATGGCGTGTTCGCCTCGTTATAGAAACAAGCGCACTAAGAACATGGTCAGCTAGGCACCCCCCAAAAAGAAGGTAATTTTTTGGCCATGTCTGTCATACAGCTTGCAATCCACAACTATGGAATACAGACAGAATTCATTTCAAATCATTGAAATGGCACCATAGGTTACAGAAATTTATATTAACGAAGCATATGTCGAATAACAAACAGCAACAATTTACGAACACAGTAGACCTTAATGCTTTGTCTAGAATACACAAACATTAAGAAAGGTATTTGATTGGTAGGTTCGGGTGTGTTTATGTCATTCCCATAAATAAACAGTTGTTGTCCTCCGCTATATCATGAGGTAACTTCGTGCATAAAGCGCTTTGCCCACCCGTAACTGGCTTTAAATTCACTGTAAGGAATTCCCTTGATGACCGATGAATGACATCAAATTGTTGCATTTTCACGGACACATATAATCTTTCTGCTTCTATTTTCTTGAGATATTCCAGCTGAATAGTTTCTACTTTCGGGTATTGCGCCTTCTTGCCAAGAAAAGATTGTTGACTTTAGAATGTTTTTAAAGAGCATCTTTCATTAACCATCCATTTTCACAAATTTTTCTGATCTGCTTTAAACTTCTTCCCATCTACTCAGTTCTCATTTTCTTGCTCATATTTGCTAACAGCAGCTTAAATATACGACTGTAACGTGCTCTCACATTGCCCATTGTTCACTGCTTACAGATACTACTGTTTTGGTTTTGGTCTCTCAGTGAAATTCTAAGACAGTGAATTTTCCCTGAATTGTTTGTCTCAGAAACTGGGTGCGGCCTATTTATGCGTGCAGCCTGTACACCTGTAAATACAGTATATTTTTTACTAATTTCTCTACACATGTCATCTGTTTATTTACTGGAATTATTCCTCAACATTCCCTGGTCACTTTGATGCATAATATGATGTAGTACATCATCTGAAACAGTATGGTCTGTTTTAATTTGTCACACTTGAAAAATTTCAAAATTCCATTACCACCCTATAGACTAATGCTAAACCCCCGGGACTGAAAGCCTTAAGGCTGGCGATAATATGCCTCCAATACTGCTGGTAGTCTGGTAATCTGGTAGTCTTAGTTTCAGTTTCATAGCAAACGAGTCACCCCATCTTTGCTCCGCTCCTGTACCAACGAAAAACACACAGAATGTTTATCACAGTATTAGAATTGCAGTTCATCATTGATGGTAGCAGAAGTCGCCAACAGATCAGCAATTGCCCACGCGATCAATTTTAATCACATACGGGCACCACAACACTTCACGACAGGCATCGCGCCATTTTCTGAATCACACCAACACGTTGGTCACAGTCGAAAAAACATTCAAAATGCAATCCGCAGCTCACTGGGTCACGCCATGCATTCAACTCAGAAGCTGGGCGACGAAACTATATCCAGTCTACAAATGGAGCAAAAATGCATCTGCCACCGTCCGGCAGAAGCAAAAAATTTGCCTCTGTTTCGAACAAATACGGCTGCCTTATGCATTTACTTTGCATGTGCGAGCTTCAAGATTTTGCTGGTACTAATATATTAGTCTCTAGCTTTTCAAATGGCACAGTAAATGACATGTCTTCTGGCACAAGAAGGGAGCAGTCCTGGGCAGACCCGTCTGCAGTCATGTTCCAATCTCAACTAACTAATTAACCTAGTACTTTGCACCTCTCGCCCGTCTTCGTCTTTTTCTTTAAAAGAATAATGAGTACATTCTGTTGTGGTTTACAGCTAGGCTGCAGCTGTCCTTTTTAGCCCAACACTTTTAGCAAACAGCCTGCATTTTATGGTGCCCTGAGTGTGTTCATGTTTTCCGCCTTTACTTTCCAGGAGATTTCTTGGTATTCAGTTTTGACTGGATTCACATAAGAGCCATTGGCAGTTTTTACTGATCCTTTTATTAGGCTTCAGGACACTGTATCAGCTAATTTCCTTTGTTCACATTAATTAGAATACCCGCCTTGAGTGAGTCATTAGTCAAGTTTTGAGATTCACCGCAGACAGGCAACCCCATAACAGCTGTACCGTTGGATATCACCCACAGTGTACTTTACTGTGAAAGTATTTGTTTTATTTTAGTTTGTTTTAAATCTCTGTCCCAGAACCTGACGGGAGCGACAGATGGAGGTCAGCATGTGACAGACGTGACCAATGCCAGCCGCACCATGTTGATGAACTTGTCCACTCTTTCCTGGGATGATCAGTTGTGCTCGTAAGTTGCAAATCTTTTTTTTTCTCCTTCTTTTTTTTATTCCCTCTTCCTGCGCTGCTGCTGTCTCTTCTTTGTCTCTTGAGCTTCTTCCTAGTCCTTCTCCATATTTTCCTTCTTCTTCTTCTTCTTCTTCTTCTCTTCCACCTTGTACCTCATCGAAGTGTCGGGGGGAGATGTAATGTTCGTTGATGAGCTCTGTCAAGAGCACTATTAAGACTGATGTTCATTTCTGTAAGGCTGTTCTTAATGCCATCACTCCATCTTTTCCGAGGTCTTCCACTCGCTTTATACCCGTTGTAACGTTTTAGTGTGGCTCGCTGTGGCAGATAGTACCAGGGCATTCTTGTTAGGTGTCCAAACCATTTCATTTGTTGTTCTTTGATGACCTGTAAGACTGGCTTTATTCCTAGCATTCGTCTGATTTCATGATTTTGTATTCTGTCTTTCCTTGAAACTCCTGCAGCTCTTCTAAGGCATTTCATCTCTGTTGTCACAATTTTACGTTCATTGGAGGATGTAAGTGTCCACGTTTGGCACTGATAGCATAGTATTGGCCAAAAAATAGTTCTGATAAGATTCACTTTAGTACTCTGAGGTATCTGCTTGTGTGTCAACAGGGGAGATAGTTGGCCCATTACTTGATTAGCTTTGGCACATCTGGGAGCTAATTTCTCTGTCCAGTTTTCCGTCTGAAGTAAAAATTGCTCCCAAATACTTAAATTCCTCTGTTTGTCTCAGGGTGTTGTTTTTTAATTTAATTTCTAAATTGTCTTTATGTCTTCCTATCATCATTGTCTCTGTCTTCGTAGTGTTTATTTTCATATTATATTCCTCCCCTTTGTTACTAATTTGATTTAGGTGGTTCTGTAGGCATTCCATATTTTCTGCTATTAGTACCTGGTCGTCGGCGAAAAGTAATTCTGTTATATCTTCTTCCTGATTAAAGTCTGTTTCGCTACATATGGCGTCCATGTATGTTTATGAAAAGAAGCGGCGATAGTACACAGCCCTGACGCACACCAGAGTTCACTATAAAAGTTCTAGACAACCCTGCCTTTGATCTTATGCAGCATTCACTACGTGTGTACAGGCTTTTGCAAATATTAATGAGATGATTGCTGATTCCTTTTTTCCCCATACATTCCCACAACATATTCCTGTCGACTCTATCGAAGGCTTTTTCTTGGTCTATGAATGTCAACAAACATGTCTTATCATGTTCTATTGCCCTCTCTGATAGTTGTCTCAATGTATAAATGGCATCTGTGCAACTTCTGTTTCGTCGAAAGCCCATCTGTGCTTCTGAAAGTTGATACTCTATCAATGGTCTCAGCCTTTTTTCGATGATCTTAGCATACATTTTCCCAGTGTGACTGAGAAGTGATATTCCTCTGTAATTAGTACATTCCCTCTTACTTCCTTTATTTTTCCACAGCGGGACAATGACAGCAGTTTTTTTTCCTTTCACCTCCTTATCATTGGTTGAAATGCAGTCGCTTTGTCATCATATTGCTCTGCCTCCAGCCCTCCTCTTCCTGATCAGTCGTTGTCTTCTAATGAGCTACCAGTTGAGACTAAAAAAATGCACTGACACACTACACTAATAATTTCTTTTTTATCAAACCCTAGATCATAGTTATTGGGTTACTGCTCATAGTTATTGGGCTACTGCTCATAGTTATTGGGTTACTGCTCATAGTTATTGGGTTACTGCTAATAATTATTGGGTTACTGCTAGTAGTTATTTGGTTACTGCTCATGGTTATTGGGTTACTGCTCATAATTATTGGGTTACTGCTCATAGTTATTGGGTTACTGCTCATAATTATTGGGTTACTGCTCATAGTTATTGGGTTAATGCTCATAATTATTGGGTTACTGCTCATAATTATTGGGTTACTGCTCATAATTATTGGGTTACTGCTCAAAGTTATTGGGTTACTGCTCATAGTTATTGGGTTACTGCTCATAGTAATTGGGTTACTGCTCATAGTTATTGGGTTACTGCTCATAGTTATTGGGTTACCGCTGCTAAAACTGTCTACTGATTGGGGTAGATAATCTCAAGGCCAACCCTCCTTCTTCCTCTCTTCTTCTGCCCTAGTGGATCATAGTGTTGAGTGTTTCACAGTGTTACACCACTGTTGAACAAACTAGGAAACTGTAAAAAAGAATGTCACTTATCAGTACGTAGTTAAGATGTTTCAGTTGTTGAAATTATTTTGTGTAGTGAAGATACAACAAAAGTGCAAGCAGAAACATTAACAGTAGTTCCTATAAAGGTTTTGATAAAGGCCCAGTGTCTCTCGACGAGTTGTGAGCCAGCAGCCAGTCAGTGGCGTAACTTTTTGGTTCTCAGGCGGAACACACTGAGCGATGGACTTGTCACCTCTGTGTGTGTGTGTGTGTGTGTGTGTGTGTGTGTGTGTGTGTGTGTGTGTGTGTGTGTGTGTGTGCGTGCGTGCATGCGCGAAATGTACACTTCTCTCTGACTGAAAGATTAAACCATGCCTGACTTAGTTCACACTGTCCCACTATGAAACCACGAGTGGCTAGTTAAATCAAAGTTCCTTAGGTGACACGATCCTACTTGGATAACTGTGCAAATCTAGTGCTAATACATGCTTACCAAGCTCTGACCCTCACGGACAAAGCACTTTAAAAAAAGTTCAAAACCAGTCGTCGCTGCCTTTGTGGGGCACGGCATTCTATGATAAATTGCTGCTGACTGTGAGGCCTTGTTTCAAATGTCTGTCCGACCATGTGTTTGATTATATGTCCATCTTGTCTTTCTCTGAGCATAGAGTGTCAGCCAGATCCCCATTACGGGATACGGAACAGATCAGCAGCGTTCTTTAGGACCTCATTTACAAATGGACAATTATTTTACTTACTGTTGTCTTAGTGTCACAAGTAATCGCTCTCTCTTTTTGTTGCAGTTTTTTTGGCATTCAGAAGAACGTGTTGCCTTTAATTAAAAGCTCATCAGAAATTTATGGCAAAATGGCCTTGACTTCACTGAAAGGTGTCAAAATTTCAGGGGTAGGACACTGTTCTTGACATGTGTGTGTTTTGTGTTGGCAGAAGATACCGATTTCTTGTAATTTCAATGTGCTGTCCAGGTTTGCTTGCAGGGTCCATGGTTTTCACCCTCAGAGTAGTCTGGATGGTGGCAGATCAGCTGAGGACAAGAAAGATGAAGCATGAGGGCAAAGAAGAAGGAGACTGAGGATAAGAAAGATGAAGCGTGAGGGCAAAGAAGAAGGAGACTGAGGACAAGAAAGATGAAGCGTGAGGGCAAAGAAGAAGGAGACTGAGGACAAGAAAGATGGAGACTGAGGACAAGAAAGAAGGAGACTGAGGACAAGAAAGATGAAGCGTGAGGGCAAAGAAGAAGGAGACTGAGGACAAGAAAGAAGGAATGAGGGCAAGAAAGATGAAGCGTGAGGGGCAAAGAAGAAGGAGACTGAGGACAAGAAAGATGAAGCGTGAGGGCAAAGAAGAAGGAGACTGAAGACAAGAAAGATGAAGCGTGAGGGCAAAGAAGAAGGAGACTGAGGACAAGAAAGATGAAGCGTGAGGGCAAAGAAGAAGGAGACTGAGGACAAGAAAGATGAAGCGTGAGGGCAAGAAAGAAGGAGACTGAGGACAAGAAAGAAGGAGACTGAGGACAAAGAAGAAGGAGACTGAGGACAAGAAAGAAGGAGACTGAGGGCAAAGAAGAAGGAGACTGAGGACAAGAAAGAAGGAGACTGAGGACAAGAAAGATGAAGCGTGAGGGCAAGAAAGAAGGAGACTGAGGACAAGAAAGATGAAGCGTGAGGGCAAGAAAGAAGGAGACTGAGGACAAGAAAGATGAAGCGTGAGGGCAAAGAAGAAGGAGACTGAGGACAAGAAAGATGAAGCGTGAGGGCAAAGAAGAAGGAGACTGAGGGCAAGGAAGATGGAGACTGAGGGCAAAGAAGAAGGAGACTGAGGACAAGAAAGAAGGAGACTGAGGACAAGAAAGAAGGAGACTGAGGACAAGAAAGATGAAGCGTGAGGGCAAGAAAGATGAAGCGTGAGGGCAAGAAAGATGAAGCGTGAGGGCAAGAAAGATGAAGCGTGAGGGCAAGAAAGAAGGAGACTGAGGACAAAGAAGAAGGAGACTGAGGACAAGAAAGAAGGAGACTGAGGGCAAAGAAGAAGGAGACTGAGGACAAGAAAGAAGGAGACTGAGGACAAGAAAGATGGAGACTGAGGGGAAGGAAGATGGAGACTGAAGACAAGAAAGATGAAGCGTGAGGGCAAAGAAGAAGGAGACTGAAGACAAGAAAGATGAAGCGTGAGATCAAAGAAGAAGGAGACTGAGGACAAGAAAGATGAAGCGTGAGGACAAGAAATATGAAGCATGAGGACAAGAAAGATGAAGCATGAGGACAAGAAAGATGAAGCATGAGGACAAGAAAGATGAAGCATGAGGACAAGAAAGATGAAGCGTGAGGACAAGAAAGATGAAGCATGAGGACAAGAAAGATGAAGCATGAGGACAAGAAAGATGAAGCATGAGGACAAGAAAGATGAAGCATGAGGACAAGAAAGATGAAGCATGAGGACAAGAAAGATGAAGCGTGAGGACAAGAAAGATGAAGCATGAGGACAAGAAAGATGAAGCATGAGGACAAGAAAGATGAAGCATGAGGACAAGAAAGATGAAGCGTGAGGACAAGAAAGATGAAGCATGAGGACAAGAAAGATGAAGCATGAGGACAAGAAAGATGAAGCATGAGGACAAGAAAGATGAAGCGTGAGGGCAAAGAAGAAGGAGACTGAGGACAAGAAAGATAAAGCATGAGGACAAGAAAGAAGGAGACTGAGGACAAGAAAGAAGGAGACTGAGGACAAGAAAGAAGGAGACTGAGGACAAGAAAGATGAAGCGTGAGGGCAAAGAAGAAGGAGACTGAAGACAAGAAAGATGAAGCGTGAGGGCAAAGAAAAAGGAGACTGAAGACAAGAAAGATGAAGCATGAGGGCAAAGAAGAAGGAGACTGAGGACAAGAAAGATGAAGCGTGAGGGCAAGAAAGAAGGAGACTGAGGACAAGAAAGAAGATGACTGAGGACAAAGAAGAAGGAGACTGAGGACAAGAAAGAAGGAGACTGAGGGCAAAGAAGAAGGAGACTGAGGACAAGAAAGATGAAGCGTGAGGGCAAGAAAGAAGGAGACTGAGGACAAGAAAGATGAAGCGTGAGGGCAAAGAAGAAGGAGACTGAGGACAAGAAAGAAGGAGACTGAGGACAAGAAAGATGGAGACTGAGGGCAAGGAAGATGGAGACTGAGGGCAAAGAAGAAGGAGACTGAGGACAAGAAAGAAGGAGACTGAGGACAAGAAAGATGAAGCGTGAGGGCAAAGAAGAAGGAGACTGAGGACAAGAAAGATGAAGCGTGAGGGCAAAGAAGAAGGAGACTGAAGACAAGAAAGATGAAGCGTGAGGGCAAAGAAGAAGGAGACTGAGGACAAGAAAGATGAAGCGTGAGGGCAAAGAAGAAGGAGACTGAGGACAAGAAAGATGAAGCGTGAGGACAAGAAAGATGAAGCATGAGGACAAGAAAGATGAAGCATGAGGACAAGAAAGATGAAGCATCAGGACAAGAAAGATGAAGCGTGAGGGCAAAGAAGAAGGAGACTGAGGACAAGAAAGATGAAGCGTGAGGGCAAAGAAGAAGGAATCTGAGGACAAGAAAGATGAAGCGTGAGGACAAGAAAGATGAAGCATGAGGACAAGAAAGATGAAGCATGAGGACAAGAAAGATGAAGCATGAGGACAAGAAAGATGAAGCATGAGGACAAGAAAGATGAAGCATGAGGACAAGAAAGATGAAGCATGAGGACAAGAAAGATGAAGCATGAGTTCAAGAAAGATGAAGCATGAGGACAAGAAAGATGAAGCATGAGGACAAGAAAGATGAAGCATGAGGACAAGAAAGATGAAGCGTGAGGGCAAAGAAGAAGGAGACTGAGGACAAGAAAGATGAAGCGTGAGGGCAAAGAAGAAGGAGACTGAGGACAAGAAAGATGAAGCATGAGGACAAGAAAGATGAAGCATGAGGACAAGAAAGATGAAGCGTGAGGGCAAAGAAGAAGGAGACTGAAGACAAGAAAGATGAAGCGTGAGGGCAAAGAAGAAGGAGACTGAAGACAAGAAAGATGAAGCGTGAGGGCAAAGAAGAAGGAGACTGAGGACAAGAAAGATGAAGCGTGAGGACAAGAAAGATGAAGCATGAGGACAAGAAAGATGAAGCATGAGGACAAGAAAGATGAAGCATGAGGACAAGAAAGATGAAGCGTGAGGACAAGAAAGATGAAGCGTGAGGACAAGAAAGATGAAGCATGAGGACAAGAAAGATGAAGCATGAGGACAAGAAAGATGAAGCATGAGGACAAGAAAGATGAAGCATGTGGACAAGAAAGATGAAGCATGAGTTCAAGAAAGATGAAGCATGAGGACAAGAAAGATGAAGCATGAGGACAAGAAAGATGAAGCATGAGGACAAGAAAGATGAAGCATGAGGACAAGAAAGATGAAGCATGAGGACAAGAAAGATGAAGCATGAGGACAAGAAAGATGAAGCATGAGGACAAGAAAGATGAAGCATGAGGACAAGAAAGATGAAGCATGAGGACAAGAAAGATGAAGCATGAGGACAAGAAAGATGAAGCATGAGGACAAGAAAGATGAAGCATGAGGACAAGAAAGATGAAGCATGAGAACTAGAAAGATGAAGCATGAGGACAAGAAAGATGAAGCATGAGGACAAGAAAGATGAAGCGTGAGGACAAGAAAGATGAAGCATGAGGACAAGAAAGATGAAGCATGAGGACAAGAAAGATGAAGCATGAGGACAAGAAAGATGAAGCGTGAGGACAAGAAAGATGAAGCATGAGGACAAGAAAGATGAAGCGTGAGGACAAGAAAGATGAAGCATGAGGACAAGAAAGATGAAGCGTGAGGGCAAAGAAGAAGGAGACTGAGGACAAGAAAGATAAAGCATGAGGACAAGAAAGAAGGAGACTGAGGACAAGAAAGATGGAGAAGAAGGAAGGTGGAGGTGGACAAGGAAGATGAATGATGACTAGGTAAATGGAGGAAGACTAGGAAAAGGAGAAGAGACAAACAGCAAAAATATAAAGATGTGCAACTTCTGTGTGTGTAAGAAGGTAGCTGTGTGTGTGAGAAGGTAGCTGTGTGTGTGAGAAGGTAGCTGTGTGTACATTTGTTTATATATGCTTGTCATAACATGCTTACGGGGTGCTATATGGCTATATTAGTTGACTACTAAATGAAACTGACATGCGTGATGCAGAAAATATAATTTCTGTGTGAACGTTCGTGGCTAGAAGGACCAGATGTAAGAGTGAAAAATGTACTCAGCAACGTTTTTGTTTGTTTACTCATTTCTTCCAGAAGTAAGAACATCTGACCGTGACAGCACACAGTGAAACCACATTAACACAAACTCAAAAAGAACATTTGGTTAACAACTGTTCTTGCTACAGCCAGCTCACACAGCAGTATTATGTTCTGTGTGCACTTCTCCACATATTGTTTCCATTTGAGCTCTTTTAATGGTGAAAAGTGTTTTGCCAAATTTCTTGTGATCATTAAATCTAGAGATAATTCTTTTGAACCAACCCAAAGGCTCAAAACACAGCAACTGTCTGTTTTTTCACCATCTGCCCAGGATGTCCCATCGACTAATGTCTGCCCAGGATTTGCCACAGACTAGTGTCTGACCAGAATTTGACACAGACTAGTGTCTGCCCAGGATTTGCCACAGACAGGTGTCTGCCCAGGATTTGTCACAGACTAGTGTCTGCCCTGGATTTGTCACAGACTAGTGTCTGCCCAGGATTTGCCACAGACTAATGTCTGCCCAGGATTTGCCACAGACTAGTGTCTGCCCAGGATTTGCCACAGACTAGTGACTGCCCAGGATTTGCCACAGACTATTGTCTGCCCAGGATTTGCCATAGACTAGTGTCTGCCCTGGATTTGTCACAGACTAGTGTCTGCCCAGGATTTGCCACAGACTAGTGTCTGCCCAGGATTTGACACAGACTAGTGACTGCCCAGGATTTGCCATAGACTAGTGTCTGCCCAGGATTTGCCACAGACTAGTGTCTGCCCAGGATTTGCCACAGACTAGTGTCTGCCCAGGATTTGCCACAGACTAGTGTCTGCTCAGGATTTGACACAGACTAGTGTTTGCCCTGAAATAGCAGTTTATGCATATCTCTGTAAAAATGTGGGAATTTTATTATTTGCTAAGGAGTCTTCGTCGGCATCTGTGGCTTAGCTGTTGCGAACATGCTTCGTAATGCCGGGATGCCGAGTTCAAACCCAGCTGATATTTTGGCCATCACTGTAGTTACATATAGTTGACCTGCCTTTGTCCTGACCAGATACTTGGGGACCAGCAAGCAGCTTTGGTGGGACAGTCTTGCTTCAAAGTGGGACAAGCTAAAAACACCTACGGCACAGGCTGTTTCTTGCTCTATAACACCGGCTTCAATGTAAGGTGGAGTTACATTATTCTTTTTTTTAAAACAAATTTTCGTTTTGTATTATCCATTCCAAACAATACACTACATGTTCTTATCTGTTATCTATGTTTCCCAGCGGAGAATTATACTGTCAGCGTAAAACTTATCTTTGTGCAGAAAAATTGTGGCAGAGTAAAACTTTGGAAAAAAGAGAGATGAGGAGCAAATTATTAATTTCGGAAGGAGAAAATAAACTTTACTTTCAAAGCATTTAGAATTTAGTTTCTCTCATGTGAGCTCTTGGGCCCTCTGTAGGGAAAACAAGAATAGACCCACGACCTCCTCTACAAGCATCTAGCAATAGTTGACTAATTGTGGGCTTCCTTCAAAGTCAGTCATCAGCTTGAGAGGCAAGGAACCAATAGTCTGCATAAAAATAAGGCAGATCTGTAAAACAAATGTGCACATAGCACTCAGGTTCTAGAACAAGACTAAAAGTCCAAAGGTGGATGAACAACCAGAATTTCCCTCCAGAGTTTACAGCCAGTGAATACAAAGATGGAGAAACAGAATTGTCCTCCAGAGTTTACAGCCAGTGAATACAAAGATGAAGAAACAGAATTTGGCATGCATGTCTGTTTACTGTTTGTCCATTCTTATCTTTCTCCTTTGATAGATATTCACTGGTGCTTCTCCTCACATAAGGGTAATCATCAACAAGTTAGACAGGGTAATCATCAACAAGTTAGACAGGGTAATCATAAACAAGTTAGGCAGGGCAATCATAAACAAGTTAGGCAGAGTAATCATAAACAAGTTAGGCAGGGCAATCATAAACAAGTTAGGCAGGGTAATCATAAACAAGTTAGGCAGGGCAATCATAAACAAGTTAGGCAGGGCAATCATAAACAGGTTAGACAGGGCAATCATAAACAAGTTAAGCAGGGCAATCATAAACAAGTTAGGCAGGGCAATCATAAACAAGTTATGCAGGGCAATCATAAACAAGTTAGGCAGGATAATCATAAACAAGTTAGGCAGGGCAATTATAAACAAGTTAGGCAGGGCAATCATAAACAAGTTTAGGCAGGGCAATCATAAACAAGTTAGGCAGGGCAATCATAAACAAGTTAGGCAGGGCAATCATAAACAAGTTAGGCAGGGCAATCATAAACAAGTTAGGCAGGGCAATCATAAACAAGTTAGACAGGGCAATCCCTGAAAGATAAAGTGTGAGAGAATTAAGTCTGAGAGGGGAAAATGAGAGAAAATAAAAAAAAATAAAAAGTATATATGTATATTCCGGACACGTAATTGACACGGACAGTGCTTTCTGTGTGGTTTATCACACACTGAACAGGCGACTGCTCAGAATCGAAGCTTTAACAATTAAAATCAACAACCCCCTCCTTTGTAAGCAACTGGATTTTATAGTAAATTTGAAGTTATTCTGGTAAGTCACGGGACTACCGTGAACTTCTGGCGGCCAAATAACACACACAATGCGTCGAAAGAAACTATTCACATTTTAGTTGGATTTATTCAGTTTTGTGCTTCATTTTATGTTGATGTAACTTTGTAGTAACGCACCTGACGAGATACAGCGAAATATGCCTGGCAATAAATTGTGCAATGTATTGTTTGTGTCCGCATTATTCAGATTCATTATGGGGAAAACATTGTTTTGGATATATATATATATATATACTTTTGTATATTTTAAAAAGAATTTATCTATATATTTTTTTAAAGTATCCAGAAACCATGAGTTGTTAACCCATTGGCTCGGTACTATAGATATCCACAACCCCTCGGCATTGATTCCATGATAGATACCGTAAATCTGGCAGAAATCTGGCATCTCTGCTTACCCCCGGGTGTGAACCTGGACCATAAGGTTTTTCGTCACCCGGTTGCCGAAGAGAGGGTTTTAAACAACTACGCTAGCGAGTAGGGCTAGAATATATATATATACTTTTTGTATTTGTTTTTTAAAATATATATATATATATGTGAATGTATATTGATGTTTTCACCGACTTCCACAGCTGGTGGAGTCCAAGTCTGGCCTGTTGACCACTGTTGCCTACCAGCTGGGTAGAAACAAACCTGCAGTGTATGCCCTAGAGGTGAGACTTGTGATTATGTTCATTCCTCGTATGACTCTGTGTAATGTTTATGGGCTGGTGCCAGGGCCAGGGGTAATACTGACCTTCTCGTCACCTCCACATGGGAAATCCTGGGCAGAGACTGGTTGTGGGAAATCCTGGGCAGAGACTGGTTGTGGGAAATCCTGGGCAGAGACTGGTTGTGGGAAATCCTGGGCAGAGACTGGTTGTGGGAAATCCTGGGCAGAGACTGGTTGTGGGAAATCCTGGGCAGAGACTGGTTGTGGGACATCCTGGGCAGAGACTGGTTGCGGGACATCCTGCGCAGAGTTTGGTTGTGGGACATCCTGGGCAGAGACTGGTTGTGGGACATCCTGGGCAGAGACTGGTTGTGGGACATCCTGGGCAGAGATTGGTTGTGGGACATCCTGGGCAGAGACTGGTTGTGGGACATCCTGGGCAGAGACTGGTTGTGGGACATCCTGGGCAGAGACTGGTTATGGGACATCATGGGCAGACACTAGTCTGTGGGACATCCTGGGCAGACACTAGTCTGTAGGACATCCTGGGCCAGACACTAGTCTGTGGGACATCCTGGACAGGCACTAGTTTATGGGACATCCTGGACAGACACTAGTTTATGGGACATCCTGGACAGACACTAGTCTGTGGGACATCCTGGACAGACACTAGTTTATGGGACATCCTGGACAGACACTAGTTTATGGGACATCCTGGACAGACACTAGTCTGGGACATCCTGGACAGACACTAGTTTATGGGACATCCTGGACAGACACTAGTTTATGGGACATCCTGGACAGACACTAGTCTGTGGGACATCCTGGACAGACACTAGTCTATGGGATATCCTGGACAGACACTAGTTTATGGGACATCCTGGACAGACACTAGTTTATGGGACATCCTGGACAGACACTAGTCTATGGGACATCTTGGACAGACACTAGTCTATGGGACATCCTGGACAGACACTAGTCTATGGGACATCCTGGACAGACACTAGTCTATGGGACATCCTGGACAGACACTAGTTTATGGGACATCCTGGACAGACACTAGTTTATGGGACATCCTGGACAGACACTAGTGTGTGGGACATCCTGGGCAGACACTAGTCTATGGGACATCCTGGACAGACACTAGTCTATGGGACATCCTGGACAGACACTAGTCTGTGGGACATCCTGGACAGACACTAGTCTATGGGACATCCTGGACAGACACTAGTCTGTGGGACATCCTGGACAGACACTAGTCTATGGGACATCCTGGACAGACACTAGTCTATGGGACATCCTGGACAGACACTAGTCTATGGGACATCCTGGACAGACACTAGTCTGTGGGACATCCTGGACAGACACTAGTTTATGGGACATCCTGGACAGACACTAGTTTATGGGACATCCTGGACAGACACTAGTCTGGGACATCCTGGACAGACACTAGTTTATGGGACATCCTGGACAGACACTAGTTTATGGGACATCCTGGACAGACACTAGTCTGTGGGACATCCTGGACAGACACTAGTCTATGGGATATCCTGGACAGACACTAGTTTATGGGACATCCTGGACAGACACTAGTTTATGGGACATCCTGGACAGACACTAGTCTATGGGACATCCTGGACAGACACTAGTTTATGGGACATCCTGGACAAACACTAGTGTGTGGGATATCCTGGGCAGACACTAGTCTATGGGACATCCTGGACAGACACTAGTCTATGGGACATCCTGGACAGACACTAGTCTGTGGGACATCCTGGACAGACACTAGTCTATGGGACATCCTGGACAGACACTAGTATGTAGGACATCCTGGACAGACACTAGTCTATGGGACATCCTGGACAGACACTAGTCTATAGGACATCCTGGACAGACACTAGTCTATGGGACATCCTGGACAGACACTAGTTTATGGGACATCCTGGACAGACACTAGTTTATGGGACATCCTGGACAGACACTAGTTTATGGGACATCCTGGACAGACACTAGTGTGTGGGACATCCTGGGCAGACACTAGTCTATGGGACATCCTGGACAGACACTAGTCTATGGGATATCCTGGACAGACACTAGTCTATGGGACATCCTGGACAGACACTAGTCTGTGGGACATCCTGGACAGACTCTAGTCTGTGGGACATCCTGGGCAGACACTAGTCTGTAGGACATCCTGGACAGACACTAGTCTTTAGGACATCCTGGACAGACACTAGTCTATGGGACATCCTGGACAGACACTAGTTTATGGGACATCCTGGACAGACGCTTGTTAAATAACAAAGGGATGACCAACTATAATCTTTACTATGATGGTGCATGCTGAGGACTCAAGATTGCCGGTAGCAGTCACTGCATGGGAAATTCATGTGTGTAATCGGTGTGTGTGTGTGTGTGATCTTTGTTCTGTGGCATGCAACTAAGTCATCAAGAGTCTGTAGATACTTTATGTTGTTCAAGAATGAACACAAGCAATAATGACAGCAGCAACAATACAAGCAACATCAACAGTAACAGCTACAACAGTAACATCAGCAGTAACAGCGACATCAGCAGTAACAAAGGCTGCAGCAGTGACAACAGAAATATTGAGAACATTGTATTACCTGGCTGTTTTGCTGTACACAGAAGATAGCACATCATGAGAAGGGAATCACCAAACAGGCAGTTCAATGGGAAACAAATGGACTGAGGAAACAAGTGTTTAAATGAAACCTGAAGTGGAATGTTGGTCAGAGGCCCAAAGATGCTTGACTGGATTCCAACCATGATATTGAAACAGGAGCACAGAATAGAGTGAAACGGCAGAATAAACTGAGCTCTGACTGACTGTTCACAGAACAACGAGGTGATGGTGATGATATTTTAACTGTATCTCACCAGTAGCATACTACATCATATACCTGAAATACACAATTCACACAGAATATTTTTACACTGTAAATTTACCACGAAAGTGTTGGACTAGCCACGTGATCCTTTTGTTTACACAGTGCAGAATTTTGCAGTGCTTATTCTGACTGCTGAGCTGGATGGATGATAGTGATAATAGAAGCATTAGAGAAGAAGTCAAAGAGGATTTAAGAAGAAATAGAAATGAGATTTGCTGCACCAGCTGTCCTATATAATACTAACAGATGTACTCTTGTGTTCCCCTCCATGACTGCAGGGAGCTATAGCTATTGCTGGCGCTGGTGTCCAGTGGTTGCGGGACAATCTTGGAATCATCTCATCCTCAGCGGAAGTTGGTAAGATCTTGAATTTAAAAATAGGTCTCCGAGATCACATGACCTGGAGCATGCAAGCTGACTAAGAACTTGAGACACTTGATCTGGGTAGATTGGGTTGCCTGTCTGGGTTTTTCCCCCACCGTTGACCTTGGGGAGCCACCGTGGTGTAGCGACTAGACTCTTGCCTGCAGATCTGAAGGTCTTGGGTTCAATCCACATCAAGTGTTTTTCCCCCACCTTTGACCTTGGGCAGCCACCGTGGTGTAGCGACTAGACTCTTGCCTGCAGATCTGAAGGTCTTGGGTTCATGTCCTGACAGAACCATACTTTTGTTCCCTTGAAAAAGGGAACTTGGCTCCTATTTCAACGCTGCCTTAAATAGGTGACAGGTAAAGTCCTGGGAAATAAAGGTGGCCGGCGCAGTGTTGACCACATCACCCTATGAGTACCGATTGGTCTATAAAATCTATGTCTAGCTCTGAAGGCGTGGAAGATGGTCCCTGACTTCACTTACTGATTTACAGCTCACCTTGGCCCCAAAGTTGAACTAGCCTAAAATGGGTATTTGGCAGTGTCCTGGGAAGTAAAGGTGGCCAGCACGTTGTTTACCACACCACTCACTGAGACCAAGTGCCCCCAAACAAGCATGTCATAAAAGACAACTAATAAAGAGTCTGCCAAGCTCGAATGAGTGCCAAGGTGCAGATATCACAGCCTGTCTGTAAACCACAACACAACATGCCAACTTCCCTTTAAAGGGGGACAGCAGAAGTAGAAGAAGATTAAAAAAAAATGATTTTTTATAAAATGCAAGATTATACTTTTTCCAGAAACACTGGCCTCGGAAGTAGACAGCACCCACGGATGCTATTTTGTGCCCGCCTTCTCTGGCCTGTTCTGTCCGTACTGGCAGAATGATGCTCGAGGGTAAGCATAGCTTGTTTGTTTGACGGCTTGACCTCCTTCAGTTCCCTTGATGGTTTTTGGGATCGTCATTATCATGTGCCCTGTAGATAAGCGTGGGTGGTCATGTTTTACCATACCAGAATCACGGATTAGTTCGATGCCCCCTCTTCATGTATTTGGCCAAACTGTTCATTTTTAAAAATCTCTTTGCCTTCATAGTGCTCTTTTTCCCAGCAGTCTTGCCAGTTGTAACCAAGTTCTCAACTCCATTCCGTGTCATGACACAGTCCAGAATACAGAGTTTGTCTATATCTGATTGTTCTACTCACTTCACCACTTCCATTTGCATCTAACAATACAGAGTGTGTCTATATCTGATTTTTCTGCTCACTTCACCACTTCCATTTGCATCTAACAATAGAGGTTCTTTGTAGCGTTTAACATTCTTTTTTTCTTACTGCAGTTGATGTCTTAACTCTTTGAGTCCCAATGAATGCATGATGTGCCGATTTTACGTCTCTCTTGACTACCCCTTGGGCCTGTGATGCTAAACCCCCTGGGACTCAAAGAGTTAATAAAGGGATTAAGAAGGCAAGATGCCCTTAAGAAACATTAAAATAAATGTTGATGAGAGAGGCCAAAGGTGCTGGACTAGATTCAATCCATGATTTGAATTGATCACAAGGGATAGAATGGGATGGAGGTTTAGAATGAGAACCTTGTGTGACATGTCTCCATAGTGCAGGTTGGCTGCAGTAGATCTCCAACATGCTCTGTCTCTTGTCCTATTTGTACACTATCTCAGACTGCTGCCCGTCTATCTCTTGATGTTGTCCTGCCACTTGTATCATTGCCCACCTCTTGCTCTCTTGCCTTTGATCTTTCCCTCCAGTATGGTTTTAAAATGTCTTTTAATGTGGCCAAAATATTTCAGTTGTCTCTTTTTTATTTCTTTCAGTAATTCTCTTTTCATTTGTAGCCTTTCCAGAACCTCTGTGTTGGACTGTTTTTTGTTTCTATGAAATTTGACCTATTTTTCTGTATACCCAAATCTCCAGAGACAATTCGATTTTCTAGTTGCTTGTTCATTGTCCAATTTTCTGCACCATATAGAAGGACTGAGTATACATAACATTTGGTGATTCTCATTTTTAGTGTGATGTTTACCTCTCTCACTGTCAGCAACTTGCGCATCTTAGCGAAGGCAGTTTTAGCCTTTCTTATTCTCTTTTTGATTTCTGTTTCACTTCTTCCATCATCTGTTACTACGTGTGTTAGATAGGAAAAATTGTTACTTGTTCTAGTAGCTCTCTGTTTACTGTGATGTTCACTTTTTGTCACTCTTTTCTTGATTACTGATTTAAGAATTGAAACCATAGCACACCGGGCATACCCATAGGTGCTCCGTCTCCCACAGCAAATGTCTAAAGGTGTAGATGCTCTTTTCAATTGTTAATTACCATATTGTTTTTTCTTTGAATATTAATGTCTAATTCATACTCTCCACTCCTCCTGTTAACTTGATCAACTAGTTCTTGTAACTCATGCTCACTTTCTGCTAGTAGCACTGTGTCATCTGCATATCTAAGATTTTTTATTACTCTTCCATTAATATTCAGTCTAGGCAATTCCTCAACCTGTTTAAAAATGTTTTCTATATATAAGTTGAAAACCCTTGGGGTTAAGACACATCTCTGACATACTCCTCTTTTTTTTATCTCTGTCTGTGGTGAGGTGGTGATGTTGTGTCTAACTGTTTCTATTTGCTGCTAGTATAGGTGACTAATCATTCTCATATCCTTTCTATCTAATCCTATATTATGGAGGCATGTAATTAGCTTTTCATGTTGAACTCTGTCAAAGACCTTCTTGTAATCTATGAAACATGCATAAATACATACTTCTCTGGACTTCTATATACTTTTCAGTCAGCATCTTTAAACAAATTATAACTTCCCTAGTGCCAATATTTTTCCTAAATCGAAACTGTTTCTCGGGCAATTCATTTTTATTTGACTTTTAATTCTTTCTTGAATGATCTTGAGAAGTATTTTAGTTATATGGCTCATCAAGCTGACTATCTTCAAACTCAACAGCTTTTTCATTTTTTTGGCCGTGTGATGAAAACAGACGTTTTCAAATGGAATGTAGCCAGTATTATAAATATCATTACACATTTTAGTGATGCTATAAACACCAAAGCTGCGTAGTGATTTTATCATTTCTGTTGTTTTTATGTCAAGACCTGCGGCTTTTTCGTGTTTAATATAAAATATATGACTTTCTTCACTTCAACTTTTAAAATGTTTGGTCCATTGTAAAGATTAAAAAATTCTGGTTTGATGCTTCTGTTGTCACAAAAATAAGTCCTCTGTGTATTCAGTCCACCTTGTGATGATATTCTTATCACCTAAAATTACTCCATCTTGTCCTCTGATGTACCCACTTCTTGTTACATTTTCTCTCCTGGTTGTGAGCTTTCTTATCTTCTCATCCACTTCTTTTGTGATATGTTTTCTTTCTAGTTCCTTTATTTCTTTTTCTTTACTTTTCTCCTGAATCTATGTTTCTTTGGCAACTCTGCAGATGTTACATATTTCTTTGCCTATTATTTCATACTTGATTTTTTTCTTTTTCTTTTGGTGGTAAGTTGGCATTTGCTATTTGCATACTAGTTTTAAAACATTCCCACTTTGCACTGATTTTCTCATCTGGATATTTATGCCAATAGTGTTCCATGCTTTTTACTATTAGGGTGTCATATGTATTTTTCACTTCCTCCAGAAACAGTTGACTTATATCTGGTTGCTTCAATGCAGGTATGTCTCTCTGAGATTCCCTTGATGCTTTTGACAAGAATTTTTTAGTCTTGTGTGCATTTGTATAATAATGGGGTTGTGATCTAAGTTTAATCGGCACCAGGATATGCTTTGGAATTCACAACACTGTTTTTAAATCTGTTTCTAATCATAATAAAATCAGTTTGGTTTCTGCTTTGATCTCCAGAGCATTTCCTTGGATACAGTTTCTAGGGGATGTTGAAAGAAAGTATTATAAATAATGAGCTGGTTCTCCCCACAAAACTGTTATCATCCTATCACCTCTTTCATTCCTGGTTACTATGCCTTATTGCCCTACAATCGGCGTGCGTTTCAGTTTTCCTACCGTTACATTCATATCTCCATGACTGTTAAGACCTCTGATGATTTTACCACTTTTAGTGTTGTAGGTCTTCGTAGTATTCTTCCACCTGTTCATCAATATAATCTGTTGGTAATGCTGTAATAATGCTGCATCAAAAAAGTTTTGCTTCAGTTTTGATTAATTTCATTCTACCTTTATGAGTCCAGAGTCCACTAATGTTCTTCTGCACATTATATTTCACTAGATTTCCCACTCCACGCTCATGATGTTCACCTCTAGAATTAATAAATATATATTCATCCCTTCCTATGAAGCTATCATCAGTCTATCTTGTTTCTGATACTCCCAAGATATCCAAATTCATATTTATGTCCTCAAACTTGGCTGCTTTTACAGAGTATGTACGTTCCACGTACCAGTACATAGACACTTCCTTCCAGTTTTTAACTAAGTGTTGTCAGAATGAACCCTTTCAAAAGAATTTGGGACACATTCATCATTAGGCTCTATCCTAGTCACTATAGGAGATGTCTCTTTCTTGGTTGTATTTACAACAGGCATATCTCTGTTGGGGGGGGGGAGGGGGGAAGAGAGGAGGATTGCCTGCATCGCTGTGTTTCTTTCGTTGTGATTCCATCGCTAACTTTAGGGTGATACATGGTGAGGTCCCAGTCTCTGCCACGATGGCTAGCCGTGTTCTCTAATGTGTCCTGAACCCGTCCTGTGTGCCATGCACTCTGCTGTTTCGTTATACAAGCCGCAAATATTTATAGATTCTTCCGCCTTGTTCAGCGTCCCAGTCTTCGTGTTCTAGAGATGGACATTTCCCTGTAGTAGGATATTACTCCCACTTCACACATGTAGTTTAACCAGTCAGCCAAAACTGTTGCCGGTGGCCACCGCCGTACACAAGCGGTATCCATGGAGTCGTACATGAGCTAGATATTTTAGATTGGAGACACTGAGATAATTGTTGTTTTCTCTGTTCCTGTAGTGTCAGGCTGGACATAAATCATGATTGCTCTTTCTCTGTTCTTGCAACGAGAGGCTGGACATAAATCATGATTGCTCGTTCTCTGTGTGTTTTACAGTGAGAGGCTGGACATAAATCATGATTGCTCGTTCTCTGTGTGTTTTACAGTGAGAGGCTGGACATAAATCATGATTGCTCTTTCTCATTTACTCTTCTGTATACAGAATTATATGTGGGCTGACCCAGTTCACAAACAAGAAGCACATTGCCAGGGCAGCACTTGAGGCCGTGTGCTTTCAGACCAAAGAGGTAAGTGTAGTGGGTGATGGTAATAGCTTTAATGTTGAATGGTGAATTTTTAAATATTGTGGGGTGTAATGGTGTAATTAATATAGTTTTAAAACTAAGCTGGGAGCCACCATGATGAAGCGGCTAGATACTTGCCATTGGATCTAAAATTTGTGGGTTCAAATCCAAACAGAGTCAAACTTTTTTCAAAAATGACCTTAGTTCCCAGGTTGACCCAGTCTTGAATGGGTACCAGGTAAAGTTATGGGAAGTAAAGGGCAGCCGGCGTAATGTTGACCACTTTAGCCACAGAGTGCTGACCACTTCAGCCACAGAGTGCTGACCACTTCAGCCACAGAGTGCTGACCACTACAGTCACAGAGTGCTGACCACTTTAGCCACAGAGTACTGACCAGTACAGCCACAGAGTGCTGACCACTTTAGCCACAGAGTGCTGACCACTTCAGCCACAGAGTGCTGACCACTTCAGCCACAGAGTGCTGACCACTTCAGCCACAGAGTGCTGATCACTTCAGCCACAGAGTGCTGACCACTACAGCCACAGAGTGCTGACCACTACAGCCACAGAGTGCTGACCACTTCAGCCACAGAGTGCTGACCACTTCAGCCACAGAGTGCTGACCACTTCAGCCACAGAGTGCTGACCACTACAGCCACAGAGTGCTGACCACTTTAGCCACAGAGTGCTGACCACTTTAGCCACAGAGAGCTGACCACTTTAGCCACAGAGAGCTGACCACTTTAGCCACAGAGAGCTGACCACTTCAGCCACAGAGTGCTGACCACTACAGCCACAGAGTGCTGACCACTTTAGCCACAGAGTGCTGACCACTTCAGCCACAGAGAGCTGACCACTTTAGCCACAGAGTGCTGACCACTTTAGCCACAGAGAGCTGACCACTTTAGCCACAGAGAGCTGACCACTTCAACCACAGAGAGCTGACCACTTCAGCCACAGAGAGCTGACCACTTTAGCCACAGAGTGCTGACCACTTTAGCCACAGAGAGCTGACCACTTTAGCCACAGAGTGCTGACCACTACAGCCACAGAGTACTGACCACTACAGCCACAGAGTGCTGACCACTTTAGCCACAGAGTGCTGACTGGTCTGTAAAATATAAGCTTAGTATGCCTGAAGGCTCGGCAAAGACTCTGACTTTTTTTAAAAACTTTATTACAGTGTGGTTTCAGTTTCAGCATATGCCAGTGGAAGTTGGAGGACAGCTAAAGCTGTGGTTGCTAGTGGAAGTTGGAGGACAGCTAAAGCTGTGGTTGCCAGTGGAAGTTGGAGGACAGCTAAAGCTGTGGTTGCCAGTGGAAGTTGGAGGACAGCTAAAGCTGTGGTTGCCAGTGGAAGTTGAAGGACAGCTAAAGCTGTGGTTGCCAGTGGAAGTTGGAGGACAGCTAAAGCTGTGGTTGCCAGTGGAAGTTGGAGGACAGCTAAAGCTGTGGTTGCCAGTGGAAGTTGGAGGACAGCTAAAGCTGTGGTTGCCAGTGGAAGTTGAAGGACAGCTAAAGCTGTGGTTGCCAGTGGAAGTTGGAGGACAGCTAAAGCTGTGGTTGCCAGTGGAAGTTGAAGGACAGCTAAAGCTGTGGTTGCCAGTGGAAGTTGGAGGACAGCTAAAGCTGTGGTTGCCAGTGGAAGTTGGAGGACAGCTAAAGCTGTGGTTGCCAGTGGAAGTTGGAGGACAGCTAAAGCTGTGGTTGCCAGCTTTTTTGACTCATGAAGCCTTTTTCAGAATCAGTTTCTGTGGCCAAGCTCCATGGCTACTGTACATTATGTCTCACAAGTTAATGATGCTTAGAAGTAATGTTAGAGCGGAGGAAAAGGTTGTAGATAGTCAGGGGAATTGAAGCGATATTTAAACAACTCACAGTGTCCACGCAGTGAAATTATATTTTTTAAATTTGGAAATTTACCAAAACAGATAACCCAATGACCAAGTGACGTCTGCTAGACGAGTTGCAAAATTCAACTTGCACCTTTCCATTCAGCATGTATTTACCATTTTTTTTATTTTGATTATAATTTTTGTTTCTTAATCTTTAATTTCATTCAGTTTTTTCACATGGAATGACAATGAGCACGTAGCAAGTGCACAGGTTGAGAACCACTGCAATTAAAATTTAAAAAAATGTTTTAAAATGTAATGCAAGTTTGGCTCTCCTTTGAATCAACCCCTAAAATTGCGGCATGCCACATTCTGGCCATAAAATGTCCACAAATATCCGAACGACGGTATTCGCGTAAATCTAAAATACAGACTATCTGCCAAGGAACAAATCACTGCAAAACTAGGATTACTTGACAATCAATGTCAACATTTGCACACGGTACTAGTAGCAGACGATAAATACCGACCGTTGACAACAATTTCGAGCTTTTCTGCAGACGATATTAGCGACCGTTGACCAATTTCGAGACATTACAGGCGATGAAAGCCGATTAGCAATACTGTGTACTTCCGATTGGAGAATTTAGCAGTGGTAGATGTCAGACTTGTCGGCATTCACTAATTGTGATTAAACTCATCGCTGAGCGTATCCCCTGCGCCGCTACGCGCGGCACGGATGGGGGCTAAACTAGGTACCTGGAACTCACGAGTACAATAATTGGAGGAAGTTGCAGGAGATGTGGTAGCTGACGCTCGTGAGTCCCAGCCATCTAGTTTAGCCCCCATCCGCGCTGCGCGTAGCGGTGTGGGGTATACGCTCGGCGGTGAGGCACACTCGCAGAAGCAGGTCGGCAAGTAACATATTGCCGAGACCATGTCAGAGCATTTGTTTCTATATACGGAGCCGGCACATATATTTTTAATAGAACTGACCCACATTAGGATATTTTTGGATATTTTATGGCCAGAAATTCGCCAATTTAGCTCTCTTTCGAACGCCATCATATTAAAGCCGCCATTTTTGGCGATGATTCAAAGGAGAGCCGCAAGTTTAGTGCATTTGAAAACAGATAAAAAGGAAGTTGATGAACATTAAATTGGATGAGATCAAGAAAGGCAAAGTAACAGTGGGTCTGGACAATCACCTGTAACATCAGATACAAGACAGAAGATGGCAGCATATTGGGCATATCCTGTGGCAGTGTATTGGGAACATCATGTGGCAGCATATTGGGCATATCCTGTGGCAGTGTATTGGGAACATCCTGTGGCAGTGTATTGGGAACATCATGTGGCAGTGTATTGGGAACATCATGTGGCAGTGTATTGGGAACATCATGTGGCAGTGTATTGGGAACATCATGTGGCAGTGTATTGGGAACATCATGTGGCAGTGTATTGGGAACATCATGTGGCAGTGTATAGGGCACATCATGTGGCAGTGTATTGGGAACATCATGTGGCAGTGTATTGGGAACATCATGTGGCAGTGTATTGGGAACATCATGTGGCAGTGTATTGGGCACATCCTGTGGCAGTGTATAGGGCACATCATGTGGCAGTGTATTGGGAACATCATGTGGCAGTGTATTGGGAACATCATGTGGCAGTGTATTGGGAACATCATGTGGCAGTGTATAGGGCACATCATGTGGCAGTGTATTGGGAACATCATGTGGCAGTGTATTGGGAACATCATGTGGCAGTGTATTGGGAACATCATGTGGCAGTGTATTGGGCACATCCTGTGGCAGTGTATAGGGCACATCATGTGGCAGTGTATTGGGAACATCATGTGGCAGTGTATTGGGAACATCATGTGGCAGTGTATTGGGAACATCATGTGGCAGTGTATTGGGAACATCATGTGGCAGTGTATTGGGAACATCATGTGGCAGTGTATTGGGAACATTATGTGGCAGTGTATTGGGCACATCCTGTGACAGTGTATTGGGAACATCATGTGGCAGTGTATTGGGAACATCATGTGGCAGTGCATTGGGCACATCCTGTGGCAGTGTATAGGGCACATCATGTGGCAGTGTATAGGGAACATCATGTGGCAGTGTATTGGGAACATCATGTGGCAGTGTATTGGGAACATCATGTGGCAGTGTATTGGGAACATCATGTGGCAGTGTATTGGGAACATCATGTGGCAGTGTATTGGGAACATCATGTGGCAGTGTATTGGGCACATCATGAGTAAAATCCCACAGGGGATCACCCAACAGGCAGTGAAATGGGATTGAGAAAGCGAGGACATCCAAGGGAAAAGCTCAGAAAAACATTGATGAGAGAAGCCAAAGAGGCTGGGCTGGATTTCATCCATGATATTGAAAGGATTGCACAGGATAGAAATGGGTGAAAGGTTAGACTGCTAGACCTTGTCACATAGTATGCACAATGGTACTTACTCACTCAGTCATTACTCTTCTACCCTGGGGGGAGAGGTTTGCCAGACTTCTCTTTCAGCATTTATTTTTGTGTGTGGCTTTTTTCTATTCCAGTCCTCTGTCAGTCAGTGACTGTCAGATGTTGTCTTCCCAGCGGACCCTAGGTCGTCCAGGTGATCTGGTTCCCTGGTTGTTGACCTCTCATTTCTGGAGTCATGTCTGATTCTGCCTTGTATGTTGCATGTCCCATAAACTGTAGCCTGTAAGCCGTGCCAGTTCATCACCATTATGATCCGTCCGGTTTTCTCTTTGTGGTAGCTTGTAATTATAGTTTGAGGCAAACAGGTGACTGGCCTGTTGTGTCTTTGCATGGTGGAGGGGCTGCCTGGTCTCCATACAGGCCGTCTGGCTGATTCACAGTTACCCACTACTTCTGAAGTTGCTTGAAGCACTGAGGTTCAGCCATACTCTCCTTCTTATACAGCCAGGCTTGGAACCGGTCTTAGCAGAGTTCATGCACAGTGATGATGATTATTATTATTATAGTAATGTTGAGTAGTGTATGTCTTTTAATTGTAAGTATTCTTTTGGTGTGAGTGGTTTCTGTGTTGAGAAATGAATTAAAAGTCAAGTGGTGAGTGATTATGGAGTGGGGGCTTAAGTGTCAACAGCTGAAATGTTGAAGAAGGGCTTCACTGTTGAGTGATACATTGAATGTGTGTAGCTGAATTTTGAGTATTGACTTCACTGTTGAGTGATACATTGAATGTGTGTAGCTGAATTTTGAGTATTGACTTCACTGTTGAGTGATACATTGAATGTGTGTAGCTGAATTTTGAGTATTGACTTCACTGTTGAGTGATACATTGAATGTGTGTAGCTGAATTTTGAGTATTGACTTCACTGTTGAGTGATACATTGAATGTGTGTAGCTGAATTTTGAGTATTGACTTCACTGTTGAGTGATACATTGAATGTGTGTAGCTGAATTTTGAGTATTGACTTCACTGTTGAGTGATACATTGAATGTGTGTAGCTGAATTTTGAGTATTGACTTCACTGTTGAGTGATACATTGAATGTGTGTAGCTGAATTTTGAGTATTGACTTCACTGTTGAGTGATACATTGAATGTGTGTAGCTGAATTTTGAGTATTGACTTCACTGTTGAGTGATACATTGAATGTGTGTAGCTGAATTTTGAGTATTGACTTCACTGTTGAGTGATACATTGAATGTGTGTAGCTGAATTTTGAGTATTGACTTCACTGTTGAGTGATACATTGAATGTGTGTAGCTGAATTTTGAGTATTGACTTCACTGTTGAGTGATACATTGAATGTGTGTAGCTGAATTTTGAGTATTGACTTCACTGTTGAGTGATACATTGAATGTGTGTAGCTGAATTTTGAGTATTGACTTCACTGTTGAGTTTTAGCTGGGAAAATGTTGAATCTGAAAGTGTAAGTAAGTACACGATTGTATGGCTTTGTTCTACAGCTCCTGGACGCCATGTATAAAGATAGTGGACTGGAACTGACCAGCCTCAGAGTGGATGGTGGAATGACCAGCAACTCGCTGCTTATGCAGATTCAAGCAGATATACTTGGGATTTCAGTTGGTTAGTATCATCCTTATCTGTATCATCATCATCTTCATCATTTTAGAATTCTTATCAGTATTATTGTGGATAAGTGTAAAGAATCATAATACCACTGAATTGAAAATTCAAACTTGAAGTTTTCATTGTCTTTTTCAGTCAATGTCAGAAAACTTCTATTGGGTAAGTAGTCTTGGTGAGCTAAGTTTGTGTGCAGTCCAGTTCTCCTGGTGTACCAGCAGCTTTGTCTTGATTGAGATTTTAACTGGTCAGATTACTTCTCCATTGGAAGGTTACAGTTGACAGCACATGTTCAGCATTTCCAGATTTCAAACTGCAGGGGCACATCTCCATGTTTCCTTCTGTGAAAAACTTGAACAACTGCTGGTGAAGTCTGTGAGATATTCCATTGTTAACAGATTCCATCTAGATTTATCTAGTGTAATGCCCAAGAAACAATCCTTTCAGTTCTCTATCTGTTAACTTGGCAGTGAGACCAGCAATGACTGAATCAACTGCCCTGGGAGCGGCTATTGCTGCTGGATCAGCAGAAGGAGTGGGTGTCTGGAGGCTGGAGCAGGAGGTTTCCAGTATTGGCACCAGCGATGTCTTTGAGCCGACAATCTCTCTCCAAGGTGGGGCAAAAACAAAATGTATCTCTTTCTGTCTGTCCCTGATATTCATAATATGCATATTATCATATGAATATAACATGCTTATTGATAAAATACAGCTGCAGTGTGAAAGACGGGAGTTTGGAAGGGCCGAATGTAAGACGGGCCTGCATGAACAATTTGTGACTCTTTGAAAATAAAGTTTGTTCATTCTTTTTCACGCTCTCTCACCCCACCCCCCCCCCCCCCCTTCCTGTCTCTGTCTCTCTTTCCGTCTTAATAAATGACCAGTGAATGAGCTTTCGTAGAAATAGTAAACTTGAATAGAGCAGTTGAAACCCTGTATCCCTGTCTAGACTGATGGACACGGGCCTGCAGCCTGAGAGCTGCCAGAGATGTCTAGACTGATGGACATGGGCCTGCAGCCTGAGAGCTGCCAGAGATGTCTAGACTGATGGACATGGGGCCTGCAGCCTGAGAGCTGCCAGAAATGTCTAGACTGATGGACATGGGGCCTGCAGCCTGAGAGCTGCAAGAAATAAGCATTTCACTAAGGGGACACGTGTTTTATTACCCAAAACAGAACAGGTGTCATCAGTCATTTTACACTTGTAGAGCTTTTGAGGAGGAGATCGGAGCACCTGTGGATCTGTCCGGAGTGCTGTGATGGTAATCCTTACTAATCCCTAATCAGTACAGACTTGGTGATATCTGGCAGATTTGATGGAGCAGGAACAAGGGAAGTATCATCTTCTTTTCTTCCTCCAGTTATCTCATCAAAGTGCGTGTATGTGGAGACTGGGTGTGCAGTATAAGATGATCATCATTTCTATAAGGCTATTATTGATGTCGCCGTTCCATTATTTGCCAGCACTTCCCCTGACTATGTGTTTTTTCTCCAGCCTGGTTCGTTTGTGCCAGGACATTCTTGTCAGATGGCCAAACATTCTCATCTACTGCTTTTTAATGAATTGAATGGTTGGTTTTAGTCCTTGACTTTTTCTCATTTCCTTATTTAAAAAACTTCAAAACACAGTTTTCCCTTTGTGAATTCCCATTGCACAGTTTATTGCCTGGCATATTGTGCTGTATCTTGTCAAGTGTGTTACTGCGTCAACATTGAGCTTGATTTTATGTTGATGAAACTTTTCCTTTTTAATTAAGGGGAAGATTGAGAGAAAAATACATGAATGGCTTGACCTTATAGAATGGGCGGTACAAGAACACAGACTTGATTCATGATTTTGGCAGTACTTGTATAGAAGGTAAACTGTGACTTACACATATTGGCATGGCACATGATGATGATGAATAGTTCTGTGAAATAGGACAAATATTTGTAAGAGTTCTTGGATGTTTATTTTCTTTCAGAGCGCATTGATCGACTTGCACGATGGAAGGAAGCTGTACAACGCAGCATGCACTGGGAAACAGCTGGCAGATCCTCATGTTAGTTGTGTGACGTTTTCTCAGCCATCTTCTTTCATATTTGTGGGGATTAGGCATTGTGAAATTCTTTCCTTCCTTCCTTTCTTTCTTTCTTTCTTTCTTTCTTTCTTTCTTTCTTTCTTTCTTTCTTTCTTTCTTTCTTTCTTTCTTTCTTTCTTTCTTTCTTTCTTTCTTTCTTTCTTTCTTTCTTTCTTTCTTTCTTTCTTTCTTTCTTTCTTTCTTTCTTTCTTTCTTTCTTTCTTTCTTTCTTTTCTTTCTTTCTTTCTTTTCTTTCTTTCTTTTCTTTCTTTTCTTTCTTTCTTTCTTTTTTCTTTCTTTCTTTCTTTCTTTCTTTCTTTCTTTCTTTCTTTCTTTCTTTCTTTCTTTCTTTCTTTTTTTCTTTTCTTTTCTCAGTCTCTCTTTCAACCTGTTTCTTTCTCTCCCTCTTCTCTCTTTTCCTTCCTTCCTTCCTTCCTTCCTTCCTTCCTTCCTTCCTTCCTTCCTTCCTTCCTTCCTTCCTTCCTTCCTTCCTTCCTTCCTTCCTTCCTTCCTTCCTTCCTTCCTTCCTTCCTTCCTTCCTTCCTTCCTTCCTGTGTGTCTCTGTTTTGCTCTCTCTGTTTCTTTCTCTCTCTCTCTTTGCCTTGTCTCAATTTATATGCTGCTCATCTGTATCTTTCTCTTCAGCTGTTTTCTCTAATAAGCACATATTTAAAGTGCATAAATCTAATGTACATACATCATATATTCTATAATCTATAATATACGCACAGTGTACGGGTGAGAAGAAATCAAAAAGCTTCCATGACAATCTGATCATCTCTAACTCTATCTTGTGTATTGAGGCAGGCCGCATTAGTCAGTTGTTTTAACTTCTGGTGTAATCATTTATCTGTTCTCATTTAAAATAATTGAACAATAATGAGATTTGCCAAATATATCTGTGTGTATAACATTACAGTCTTAATTGATTATTTGTTGTTTCCTAATTGCCAATATGTTCCTAATTGACATTATGTTTCTAAATGTGTACCATTTACTTTTTTTTTGTTTCAAATTTACGCTATTGTTTCATTTTTCCCTTGTTCTATATTTGTGTTGTGGTTTACAGCAAGGCTGCAGTATCTGGGCCTTTCAGCCCAACACACCCAGTTCCGGCAAATCCTTAATTGTTCACCTTCAGCAACATGCTTGCTAAGGGGGGGGGGGGGGGGGGGGGTCTGTGTTTGTCGCTACAGCTAACCCACACAGGGATATAGATAAGCAAACAAGGAGCCAAATGTTCCAAAGCCCTAAATATCACTCGTGAACTGAACAAACAGTACGTGAAATGAACCCAGGACCTTCAGAGCAGGAGGCAGGAGGCAGATGGCTTGACCACTTTGCCACAGAGACCCCCATGGTTTGGAAAGAATATCAAGGAATTACAGAAAAACAAATGAGACAGTTTTCTACGGGGGGGGGGGGGGGGGGGGGGGGGAGAGGTTAAAAGAGAGAGAAAAGAAAGGGCGGAGGGAGATATAATGTGGGGAGAAGTGAGCTCAAAAACCTGGCAATGAGTGGTAAGTTTCATGGAAAAAGAGTGAGGGGAAGGCAAAACCGAGATAAACATCTGCATGGCTTGTTGCTGTGGATAAGGCGAAACAAGAGAACTGATCTGGTTTGTGATTCTGGAGATGGTGGAACATGACTGTCTGTGTTTACTGGCCCGGCATAGGATGATAAGGAGGAGACGGAAAGATGTTGTTATAGCATTAGATGATGATGAGGAGGGGGAGGCAAGATGTTGGCATGGCATAGGATGATAAGGGGGAGACGGAACTATGTCGGTATAGCATTGGATGATGATGAGGAAGGGGAAGAAAGATGTCGGCACGGCATAGGATGATGAGGAGGGGAAAGCAAGATGTCGGCACATAAATTGATATTTGCTGTTTGAGATCACAAAAATATGACGTAGTCTGATCAGTGTCTGCCAGTCAACAAAGCAGTTGCTAATGATATAGGTTAAACTTCTGTGTTCTAGGATTGTCATTGAAGACTGTACCTGAATTACACTGAAAGGCAGATATTGAATTGGTTTGGCCATCTATGAGACCTACAGCACAACAGCTGGACGGAAGGTGAAAGGAAGACCTAGGAAGTGATGGATAGATAGCTGAATCTTGCAAAATTATGAACATTTTCATCACTCAATTGGAAAACAAATACAGAAAACCAGGTTACTGGGCTACAACCTGGTAACAGTGAGATGACAAAAGAAGAACTTCTTCTACAACTGTTTTTGTTGTCGAAAACATGATCAAATGAAACCTTCCAAAGAGCTTGATATACAACTATATGATATGTAATCAGAGCTATAGGTTGACTATACAAGTGATGGGTAGATGGAATATCCGAGGCCATAAATAACAGCATCTGTGTAGCACATACCAAGGCTGGCACCCGATGCTTTTCCAAAACCTGACGCTAACAGGCAGAAAAGGAATAGAGAAGAAGACGATAGGAAATATATGTTAGAAGCTGAAGCATGTTAAAACAAGGCAACTCTTAAGAAGACAGCATGCACCTGGGATCAGAAGAAGTCACTACAGGCATTCAGACAGATGTCCCTCTGCAGGGTAGACAACATTTCTGTCTGTCTGTTAACTAAAGAAAGGATTGACTTCATTGCACTGGATGTGCCCACGTGGCTCACTCTCTGTCCACAGAATGACCAACTGCCTGCCAGAGCACTGCAGCTCCAGCAGCGATCCCCAAGGATCTCTGTAAAACTGCACTCGTGAACCGAGAGATGCAGTCTGTGAAATGAACCGATAACTTGAAAATGTGAAGCAAATGGCTAGACCACTTTACCATGGCAACTCTTGCATGTGTGTGTGTTAGCTGGAGTTGTGTGTGTGAGCTGGAGTTGTGTGTGTTAGCTGGAGTTGTGTGTGATTGTGTGTTAGCTGGAGTTGTGTGTCAATGTGTGTTAGCTGGAGTTGTGTGTCAATGTGTGTTAGCTGGAGTTGTGTTAGAGTGTGTGTATTAGCTGGAGCTGTGTGTGAGTGTGGGTTAGCTGGAGTTGTGTGTTAGCTGGAGTTGTGTGTCAATGTGTGTTAGCTGGAGTTGTGTTAGAGTGTGTGTATTAGCTGGAGCTGTGTGTGAGTGTGTGTTAGCTGGAGTTGTGTGTGGGTGTGTTAGCTGGAGTTGTGTGTCAGTTTGTGTTAGCTGGAGTTGTGTGTAAGTGTGTGTAAGCTGGAGTTGTGTGTCAGTGTGTGTAAGCTGAAGTTTTTGTTTGTGAGTGTGTGTTAATTGGAGTTGTTGTGTGTATCTATGTGTCTAGAGAAAATAAAAGTTGACTTATTACCCCTTAAGCAACACCTGATATATAAAACAATCTGGGGCTAACACTACTTGCTGAATGCATCTCAAGTCATGATGAAAATTCTTTACTTTTTTACATCATAGTAATACATGACTTTCCAAATCTAGATCTGCGATTAGGCTTCTGGGACACACTGGCACCTGGCCTGTACATGTGGGGCAGTTTTGGCCTGATGCTGCTAGCCAAGTTAATAGCCAAATCTGTCCACAGATGACCAGAGGTAAGTGGACCTGGTCCAGTAATGGTGTGAATTGTGAACTGATTGTGCTATTGAGGCTTGCAGGCTGATTGGTTAGACTGCCTTGTGTTCGTTAAAGTCAAGAGTCACTGCTTGTTATTCTGTATGTCTCGGTCTGTCTCTACAGAATGGCTAGCAGAGAGTGTCACACAAAGCATGAACTCTGTAGCTGCAGCAATGATCTCCCTGGATCTCAGTAAGGACTGCACTCATGAACTGGATGATGCATCAATGAAATGAATCCATAACATTCAGAAGGAAATTGCTTGGCCAGAGAGACCTCTGATGTTGCTGATGTCACATGTTGATGTGGAAATTGCTTGGCCAGAGAGACCTCTGATGTTGCTGATGTCACATGTTGATGTGGAAATTGCTTGGCCAGAGAGACCTCTGATGTTGCTGATGTCACATGTTGATGTGGAAATTGCTTGGCCAGAGAGACCTCTGATGTTGCTGATGTCACATGTTGACCTGTAATGTTGCTGATGTCAGATGTTGACCTGTGATGTTGCTGATGTCACATGTTGACCTGTGATGTTGCTGATATCACATGTTGACCTTTGATGTTGCTGATGTCACATGTTGACCTGTGATGTTGCTGATGTCACATGTTGACCTGTGATGTTGCTGATGTCAGATGTTGACCTGTGATGTTGCTGATGTCAGATGTTGACCTGTGATGTTGCTGATGTCCTATGTTGATGAGGAAATAAAATGTGGAATTACTGACCAAAACTCCAGTTCTTATTCTTCTTCTTCTCTTTCTCTAGTTTTTTTTTAGTTGAGTTTCACAGAATTATAACAATGCATTTTTTTGTAACACAATTTGAAAATGAGCAATTTGATTCAAGATTGTTATGATGTGAAAGGTTTCATAGAGTGACATTTTTGGCTGAATTTTTTTTCAGACTATGTATAGATAATACATATTTTACTATTAGGACTTTTGTTGAGTTTGTTGCTGATCAAATATTTTTTACTGTGTGAACATTTTACTACATTTTTGCTGATTGAATGTGGTGGTGTTTTAGACATGTGTGTCTGCTTTTGATGAGTAGATAACGTTTACTGACTGTTGACTTGCTAGGCAGATAACTTGATTGTTTTAACTGACTGACTTTATTCATTGATGGCACTTGCTGATAGAGTGACTTTGTCAACTGACTAAACTTGTTGGCTGATTCTCTTTGTTGACTGATAGAATGACTCACTGACTAGCTGGACTTATTGGCTTGGTGTGAATGCTGACTGAATGTCTACATGTATAGGCACTAATAGTGTATTGTTTTGTACATCTGACTGAATGTCTACATGTATAATCACTAATAATGTATTGTTTTGTACATGTGACTGAATGTCTCTGCATGTATAGGCACTAATAATGTATTGTTTTTTACATGTGACTGAATGTCTCTACATGTATAGGCACTAATAATGTATTGTTTTGTACATCTGACTGAATGTCTCTACATGTATAGGCATTAATAATGTATTGTTTTGTACATCTGACTGAATGTCTACATGTATAGGCACTAATAGTGTATTGTTTTGTACATCTGACTGAATGTCTACATGTATAATCACTAATAATGTATTGTTTTGTACATCTGACTGAATGTCTCTACATGTATAGGCATTAATAATGTATTGTTTTGTACATCTGACTGAATGTCTCTACATGTATTGGCACTAATAATGTATTGTTTTGTACATCTGACTGAATGTCTCTACATGTATAGGCACTAATATTGTATTGTTTTGTACACCTGAATGAATGTCTCTACATGTATAGGCACTAATAATGTATTGTTTTGTACATCTGACTGAATGTCTCTACATGTATAGCCACTAATAATGTATTGTTTTGTACATCTGACTGAATGTCTCTACATGTATAGGCACTAATAACGTATTGTTTTGTACATCTGACTGAATGTCTGTCTCTACATGTATAGGCACTAATAATGTATTGTTTTGTACATCTGACTGAATGTCTCTACATGTATAGGCACTAATAATGTATTGTTTTGTACATCTGACTGAATGTCTCTACATGAATAGGCACTAATAATGTATTGTTTTGTACATCTGACTGAATGTCTCTACATGTATAGGCACTAATAATGTATTGTTTTGTACATCTGACTGAATGTCTACATGTATAGGCACTAATAGTGTATTGTTTTGTACATCTGACTGAATGTCTACATGTATAATCACTAATAATGTATTGTTTTGTACATCTGACTGAATGTCTCTACATGTATAGGCATTAATAATGTATTGTTTTGTACATCTGACTGAATGTCTACATGTATAGGCACTAATAATGTATTGTTTTGTACATCTGACTGAATGTCTCTACATGTATAGCCACTAATAATGTATTGTTTTGTACATCTGACTGAATGTCTCTACATGTATAGGCACTAATAATGTATTGTTTTGTACATCTGACTGAATGTCTGTCTCTACATGTATAGGCACTAATAATGTATTGTTTTGTACATCTGACTGAATGTCTCTACATGTATAGGCACTAATAATGTATTGTTTTGTACATCTGACTGAATGTCTCTACATGAATAGGCACTAATAATGTATTGTTTTGTACATCTGACTGAATGTCTCTACATGTATAGGCACTAATAATGTATTGTTTTGTACATCTGACTGAATGTCTACATGTATAGGCACTAATAGTGTATTGTTTTGTACATCTGACTGAATGTCTCTACATGTATAGGCACTAATAATGTATTGTTTTGTACATCTGACTGAATGTCTACATGTATAATCACTAATAATGTATTGTTTTGTACATGTGACTGAATGTCTCTGCATGTATAGGCACTAATAATGTATTGTTTTGTACATCTGACTGAATGTCTCTACATGTATAGGCACTAATAATGTATTGTTTTGTACATGTGACTGAATGTCTCTACATGTATAGGCACTAATAATGTATTGTTTTGTACATCTGACTGAATGTCTCTACATGTATAGCCACTAATAATGTATTGTTTTGTACATCTGACTGAATGTCTCTGTATGTATAGGCACTAATAATGTATTGTTTTGTACATCTGACTGAATGTCTACATGTATAATCACTAATAATGTATTGTTTTGTACATGTGACTGAATGTCTCTGCATGTATAGGCACTAATAATGTATTGTTTTGTACATCTGACTGAATGTCTCTACATGTATAGGCACTAATAATGTATTGTTTTGTACATCTGACTGAATGTCTCTACATGTATAGGCACTAATAATGTATTGTTTTGTACATCTGACTGAATGTCTCTACATGTATAGCCACTAATAATGTATTGTTTTGTACATCTGACTGAATGTCTCTACATGTATAGGCACTAATAATGTATTGTTTTGTACATCTGACTGAATGTCTGTCTCTACATGTATAGGCACTAATAATGTATTGTTTTTGTACATCTGACTGAATGTCTCTACATGTATAGGCACTAATAATGTATTGTTTTGTACATCTGACTGAATGTCTCTACATGAATAGGCACTAATAATGTATTGTTTTGTACATCTGACTGAATGTCTCTACATGTATAGGCACTAATAATGTATTGTTTTGTACATCTGACTGAATGTCCACATGTATAGGCACTAATAGTGTATTGTTTTGTACATCTGACTGAATGTCTCTACATGTATAGGCACTAATAATGTATTGTTTTTGTACATCTGACTGAATGTCTACATGTATAATCACTAATAATGTATTGTTTTGTACATGTGACTGAATGTCTCTGCATGTATAGGCACTAATAATGTATTGTTTTGTACATCTGACTGAATGTCTCTACATGTATAGGCACTAATAATGTATTGTTTTGTACATGTGACTGAATGTCTCTACATGTATAGGCACTAATAATGTATTGTTTTGTACATCTGACTGAATGTCTCTACATGTATAGCCACTAATAATGTATTGTTTTGTACATCTGACTGAATGTCTCTACATGTATAGGCACTAATAATGTATTGTTTTGTACATCTGACTGAATGTCTGTCTCTACATGTATAGGCACTAATAATGTATTGTTTTGTACATCTGACTGAATGTCTCTACATGTATAGGCACTAATAATGTATTGTTTTGTACATCTGACTGAATGTCTCTACATGAATAGGCACTAATAATGTATTGTTTTGTACATCTGACTGAATGTCTCTACATGTATAGGCACTAATAATGTATTGTTTTGTACATCTGACTGAATGTCCACATGTATAGGCACTAATAGTGTATTGTTTTGTACATCTGACTGAATGTCTCTACATGTATAGGCACTAATAATGTATTGTTTTGTACATCTGACTGAATGTCTACATGTATAATCACTAATAATGTATTGTTTTGTACATGTGACTGAATGTCTCTGCATGTATAGGCACTAATAATGTATTGTTTTGTACATCTGACTGAATGTCTCTACATGTATAGGCACTAATAATGTATTGTTTTGTACATGTGACTGAATGTCTCTACATGTATAGGCACTAATAATGTATTGTTTTGTACATCTGACTGAATGTCTCTACATGTATAGCCACTAATAATGTATTGTTTTGTACATCTGACTGAATGTCTCTGTATGTATAGGCACTAATAATGTATTGTTTTGTACATCTGACTGAATGTCTACATGTATAATCACTAATAATGTATTGTTTTGTACATGTGACTGAATGTCTCTGCATGTATAGGCACTAATAATGTATTGTTTTGTACATCTGACTGGATGTCTACATGTATAGGCACTAATAATGTATTGTTTTGTACATCTGACTGAATGTCTCTACATGTATAGGCACTAATAATGTATTGTTTTGTACATCTGACTGAATGTCTCTACATGTATAGGCACTAATAATGTATTGTTTTGTACATCTGACTGAATGTCTACATGTATAGGCACTAATAGTG